CAGGTGTAAATCAGCTTTTGGTGCTGCCAGAGGGGCTGAGGGGAGCGAGCTCAGTGCAGTCTCTGCTGAGTTTCCAGCACTGAGTTTCTCCTGCTGAGCCCAGTGTTGGAAGGTATTTTGGAGGCTGTTAATCAGCAGATCCAAAAATCCAATAAAGTCCTTGCAGTGATTAGGAGAGGAAGATAAAACTGTGTGTGTGCAAGAGAGAGAGGAGGACTGGAGTGGGCATCTTGCTGTTGGTGCAGCCTGAATTGAGCAAAGTCTGTTCCTTCCAGAGCCTTGGGGTGAGCTCAGACAGGGTCTGGGTGTCCCTGGCAGTCAAAGATCCCCTCTTTAGGCTGGTCCCCAGCCTGTGCTCACTGCCTCCCCAGTGCCCAGGCACTCTGGGTTATTAAAAATGAGATAAGGATCGAGGTCCTGCACACACACACGGGCTGCAGAACAGGATCACCAGCAAAATCAATGCTGGAAGGAGCTCAGGAGCTGCAGCACAGTGGCTGCTGCAAGGGGAAAAAATTCCAGGAGCCACTCTCAGGAGGGACATCCCAGCATGGCAGGGCAGAGGAGGTGGCTCCATGCTTTAAAATACATTTTTTTTTTTGCCAGGCAGCTGCTGTGACATGGAAAATTTCCTGCTGAAAATTCCCTTTCCATGCTGAAATCTCCAGCCACTATTCTTGGGAAGCAGTGGAGGCAGTGGTGAGGGAAGAACTGGCTGTAATTTCTGGGGTTTCCTTTAGCCTAGGAGTTGATTGCTTAGCTGCAGGTTTGGGATGAGCCTCATTAGTGAGATGCTGATAGATGAATGCTGGCTTTGGTGTTTTGTCTTGTAAAGCAGGTTTTTAACTCACATCTCTTTTGGGCTGCTCAGCCTGGAGGAGAGAGTCTTTGGAGAGATTTACAGCACCTTCCAGTGCCTGAACGTGACCTAGGGGAGGGCTGGAGAGGGATTTTTACATGGGCATGGGGTGATAGGGGAAAGGGAAATAGATTTAAGGTGAAGGAAGGTGGATTTAGATGGGATATTGGGAATAAATTCTTCCTGTGAGGGTGGGCAGGCCCTGGCACAGGGTGCCCAGAGCAGCTGTGGCTGCCCCTGGATCCCTGGCAGTGCCCAAGGCCAGGCTGGACAAGGCTTGGAGCAGCCTGGGAAGGTGTCAGGGTGGAATGGGATGCTGCTTAATGTGCCTTCCAAGCCAGACCCTTCCATGCCCCTGTGTTTCTAAGAGCTGTGCTGCCAGGTGTAAATCTCTTGCTGCTTTTCTCTGCATCTCAGTCTCCTCCTCTGTATTCTGGGCAGAATAACTCCAGGGCAGGATTTCCCCCAGGCAAGGCAGCTGGGATTCCCCACAGTGTGTGAGGAGCAGCGTGTCACTGCTGGGCTGTCCCAGGGTGACATGGGCAGGGCAGGAGGGACAATTCCCTCCCAAACACTGACATGGGCAGGAGGGACAATTCCCTCCCAAACACTGACATCCAGCTGAGGTGGGAGAGGACCTGTGGGTGCAGAATCCTGGTTGGGATCAGCTGATCCTCCATCCAGACCTGCAGAGCCACACTTGCAGTGAGCATCACTTGTTCCTGATGGCTTTATATCCCTAAAGAACGGGGAGTGCATCCTGCAGATCTGCTCATACCTCACACCCAGCCAGGCTGGAAAATCCCATCTCAGGGCTTTAGGATCACAGAGCTCACCTCTGTGGCTTTTATTAGCCAGCTCCTCCTGTGCCTTCAGTGCTGGGGTCATTGCAGGGGGTTTTTGTGCTGTTGGAAAGTGAAGAGTGCAGGTGGAGTGCTGCAGAAAGCCAGGGAGTGACTTCATCCTCTAATAACTCCTCCAGCGCCGTCTCCCAGGGAACCCCGTGGAATTCAATTAGCTAATTGTGTGCCTAGCACTCGGGAAAATATAGAATGCCACGGAATTGCTAAGTGTTGTTATTTAACAGCACACATTTCGTGGTTGCAGCCCTGTAGTAGCAGTCAGAAAACCTACACTGTAATTGCCTGCTGGTGCCTGCTGCTGAATTTGCTGTGATCGGAGCAAGGCCTGGGGATTTTTCTTTCTGTAAAAAAGTTCATTAATTTTGGCTGCAGATCCTCCGGGTCTAATTTTTTACCGAGTTCTCTTGAAACAGAATATTGACATGTGGTGGGTGTTTTAAAAAACAGAGTGGAAAGAGGGGGAGGAATTCAGGCAGGCAGGATTTGTGTCTCTGAAACTCACCTTGGCATGATTCCTGGTGGTCTTCTCTGTGCCTCACGTTGGACTGAGATTGAGGGCCAAGTTTTGGGCAATTACTGCAATTCCTCCAATGTAGGGAGAGGGATAAAAAAAACAGAATGGGAGGAAATGAGGGAGCTGCTGTTTGCACCCATCATTTTGATGGCATTTTCTGAAAGCCTGTGGTTATAAAGCTGTGTTTGCACAGGTGGAGGAGGCTTGGAGTCCCCTCCTAAACAGGATGTCAGTTATTTTCCTAATGGCTCTTTGCTCTTATTGCACTGAGAATCTTCTGCAGAAGCTCCAGCCAGCACTGAGGATGAGGGAGAGTAACTCCAGGAGGAGAGAAAGGCATCTGGGAAAGTGTTTTGTGTAGGGATATCCCTCACTACATCTCAGAGAGAAATCCTTGGCTCTGCAGCTGAAAATACCCCTGAGATCAGGGGTGTCCCACCCCTTGTCCTGCCTGTGTTTGCCTCTTGCAGCGGGGAGGAGGGCAGGACGGGTGGGAAATCAGCTGAGAGGTGCAGGTCTGGAACAGCAAACGAGATTTTGTTTGCAAAACGTGCATTTGGAAATGTCAAGCATGGTGAATGAGTGTAAAAAGGGTAAAAAAAAAAAAAGCCCCAACAAATAGGGACAGAAGCTGAGCTGGCAGCTCTGGGAGTATGGGGATGCTCTCACCCCTTTGCCCTCTGCAGCAAAGCCTGACCTTACCAAATCTCTCTTATCCCACTGCAAATGAAGTGTGTCCCCCTGGGGTGGTTTATCTCCATCTCATTGCATGGGCAGCTCACGGCTCATTTCCTCCTGACCCGGCTCTTGCTCCTCTGATGGAAAGGCATTTAATGGCCAAAAATTGGAGCTGGAGCACAGGGAAGGGACAGGGAGCAGGGTGGAAGGGGCCAGGTCTAGGCCATGCCACCCCTGTGTGTCACAGTGATGCTTTATGGACGTGACAGCCACAGGAATGGGGGTTTCTGCAGCTGGAAAAAGATGGATTTGGAGAGGGTTGGCTGTGGGAAAAGACCAAAGCTTGCACAAAGCAGCCAGTGGTGATGGGAGCCGGGCAAAGCTGCTGGCAATGTTTGAACCAGAGCAGATTATGGGCTCTGGGGGGCCTGGCTGTGGTTGTTTGCAGGCACACGGTCCTGGCAGCTGCCTCAGTGCAGGGAATTTACCCAGGGAAAGTGGGAAAAGATCCCTTCAGGGGCTGGTTCTGACCATGGCACTCAGCCACTCAGGGCAGCAGGACCTGTGGGTTCAGCCCTGTGGCTGTGCCTGGCTGGGGTGAATCTCACCTCTGCCTCAGTTTCCCCACATGAACTGACACCCTTTCGTCTCCTCATCCAGTAACTGCTCATTTAAAGATCAGAGCATAACAAAACCTTCCACTTCAAAAGCTTGGAAGTGTTTTCAGGGGACAAAAGGCACAATAAATAAATAAATAAATAAATAACACACTAATTTCAGCTGCCCTGAGGCTGGGGCAGGCTGGAACAAGATGAAACCTTGGATTTTGTGACAAAACATCTCATTTTCCTCCTGGATATCCCAAAGCCAAGAGGGCAGTGGGGCAGCTGTTTGCCCGGTGCCCTGCACGATTTGCCTGGAGGCTCTAGCTGCGGGGAGAGAGGATTTTACAGGGGTTTAGGATCCCTCCTGCTGCTCTGCCTGCAGCCAGCCTCTCCTCATGCCCAGCTCCTCATCAGCCATCTGCCCTGCTCGCTGGGGCTGACAGGATGCCCTGGGTGAATGGATCACCTGTCAGCAAGGCAGGGGGATAATATCATTCAAATGAATCAATAGTTCACAGGCAATTTCACATTACCCAATGTTAACGTGTCCAAAATGTGCTTCATCCTGCCTTTGATGGCATTCCCGTGGGTCTTGGCCGGGCTGGAATAGTCTTGTAAGTCCCATGTTTGGGATATTGACAGGAACTGCCCCTGTGTGCATAGCAAAGATAAAAAATTGCTCAACTTGCTGTAATTCCATCTCCCAGGGAGCCCAGGGACAGCTGGATCCGTGATGGGCATCCAGCAGTTGCTGGAAGTGTCACTCCCACCTTCTCACTCCACTTCAGCAATTAGCAGAAGAGAAATTAGTGAGGAAAGTGTCATTATTCCCTGCTAACAGGACAAGGAGGGCTGGACTTTTCCCCGGGCTTTGTTGTGTAGCTGCTTCCGTGGATGTGAGGAGCAAAACCAAGCCCTCTGTTTTAATTTATTTAATGTAGTTATTTTTATGCTTCTTAGCACTTGCAGAAATGCAAGAGGATGCTCCCAGCTCCAAAACTCACAGTCAAGGCACCCTCCAAGCCTCCCCAGGGCATTAGGGTGGCATCTGCTCCTGGGACCTAGCAGCAGAAAGCAGCAGTGCAGGGTTGGGGGTTTTTAGGGTTAGGTAGAATTTGATTCCTCCTCCTGTGGGGAGAGAACTGATTTAATTGAACAGTTGGAACTTGGTGTCACCAAACTGGATGTGGTGATGGAGCAGCTTCACTCAGCAGGTGGGTGACGCCCTCTTTGGAGGGTTTGGGGTTTTTTGGGTGGAATTTGGCCAATAAAGCACTGGACCTGGCTGATATCTTCGTTAAAAGCCTGAGGTGAGCAGCGCCCTGAGTCAAATCCTGGTAAAACCCAGGCTCTCCCTTCCAGCAGCTGAGTGGGTTTCAGGATCTCACAGCTCCCATTCCCTTCAAGGGCACTGAGTGGCTTTGAAGCTTTCAGTGCCTGTTTTCCCCTCTAACCCCATTTTCTGCTTTGGGCTGCTGTAGGAGTTTTCCCTCCAGCGCCTGGACAGCCTGCTGGACGACCGAGTCAACATCCTGGGGTTCTCCATTTTCAACCAGTCTCATGCCTTCTTCCAAGAGTTCGTCCAGAGCCTCAACCAGTCCTGGCAGGAGAACTGTGACCACGCTCCTTTTACTGGGCCTGCAGTAAGTAAAGTCCATTCCCATCCCCCAGAACCTCCCTGAGCTGGGAATTCTGATAGACCACGGAAAAACCTTGTGGGAAGAGCTTCAGGATGGTCCTGAGCAACTCAGGGGTAGAAACTCTGGTCTCAAATAATTTTTTAAAAAGTTATTTAAATTATTAAACCATTTAATTATTTAATCCTATTTAATCTTGTGCTGAAGGGCTCAGGGATATCCCCAGGCTGCTGTTGTACCTCAGATTGGATTTTATGAGGAGATGCTGGCCCAGGAAAGGGAAGGAAGAACCAGAGCAGAGCATTTTTATTAAGTAGGTAGGAGAGGACTTGAGCTGTCAATCTGTGATTTACAGAGGATGTGGAAAATAGCAAAGTGACCCTGAAAGTCAGAGCTGCCCAAAGGACCTGGGGGTGCAGAGCTTAGCAGAGCTTCTCTGTGCTGGACTGGGAGCCCAGCTTTAAATTCCAGCCTAATCTTGATTTGGATTGTGTTTCTCTGTGGGTGCAGGGGATGATGCAGCTCTGATTCATTTTTTCCCTCGTGAAGTTTATCCCTGTGTGTTTAAACTCCAGGAGAGTGGCTCGTGGAGGGGGATTGTGGCTGCAGATGGCACAGGAGGGGCTGGGTCGGGCAGATGCCGAGGGGCTCTGTGCTGCAGCAGCTCCCTGAGGAGTGTGAGGAGTGTGCACATCAGCACTGGAGCATTCCCCAGGGATTCTCCACAACTGGGAGAGTTTGCAAAGCAGATTTGCCACATCAGAGCTGCAGCTGTGAGAGGAGAGAGAGAGAGAGAGAGGAAAATATCATCAGCTGAACCCTTTGCATGGATTTTAATGAACCCAGAGCCCCTTGACGAGCTGAGCTGCTGAAAACCTCCTTATTGTCACCACAAAGGGAGCCTTAAGAGGCAAAATAAGGAGATTTTTTGCCCTTTGTGTCCACATCCTTTGGCTTGACTTGAGCTCCTGTGCCTGGGACCATCCTGCTCTCCCTCCCAGCCAGAGGCAGCTGCAATCAGCTTGCCCTGCTCAGTCTCCACGCGATTTCTAGCAGGAAGATTCCTTTTTGGATTGCAGGGGCTGTTGAGAGGCATTAAAAACAAATTCCCCACTCCTAGTGCAAACAGGAAACAGAAGGAACCACCTGCAGGTGCAACAGGGAAATGAAAATTCTCATTTTAGGTTCTTACCCCATGTTGTATTGAGCATCCAGCAAAACCTCTAGGTGTGAGGATGCCTGGAGAGACTGGAATTCTTCAAGATGGCACAGGCCAGGTGATGGGAGAAGGATTTGAGGGTAGGGAAGTTACAGAGCAGAGGTGGAATATTCCCAAGCAGTTTCTGTTGTCTGTGAGGTGAATCCAGGACCTTTCTGCCTGTGCTGTTGGAAATCTGGCAGGGAGCATCCCTCTGTACAGCCCTGGGAAGGATCCTGTGGGATAACTCATCCTAAAGAGAGAAAAGGAAGCTCAACAGCTGGAAGTGACAGGAGGGAGGTTTCCTGTGAGCTGCAAAAATCCCAGGGCATTCTTGCTGGAGCTGAGGAAGCATCTGACAAAGGAGGAGGGAGCTGCCTGCTCCAATGCCATTCTCATTAATCACATTGCAAAGAAAGGAAATCAGAGAAAATCATTCAAATTACAGATGGCTAGATTTGGTAATTAGAATTTAGGCTAAAACAGATGTTTGTAATTAAGTGTTTATGTCATTGAATAAAATCCAGATTGCAAAGTCTGTTTCACAGGGTTTTAATGGCTTTAATTCCCCATGTTGGGTTTGGGGGCAAAGATACAGCTGATAATGTTCTAGGGAGGGAAGAAAAACCCCACATGGCAAAACCCAAACCTGTTCATGTTTCAGTATCAAGAATTGTCCAGAATTTGGGGATTGAGGAAAGCCCCCCAAGCCCCATGGATTTTCCATGGAGCTCTGACATTGCAGAAGGGCACAAACCCAACAGGGCTCTGCACAAATCAGATGGTGCAGGCAAGGGAGAGAATCAATTTGTTAGCAGGCAAATTGGCTTTTTTGTGACACAGGGACAAAGCTGTGGTTTAAAATGAGAATATAAAAGTAGTGAGAGGTTTTTATAGGTGACATGGGGAAAGAGGAGGTCAGGGACAGATCCCTCTGGCTGGATCTGCCTGGAGGACACTCCAAAAGTCTCTTTTCACTCCTCTGCTGAAGGTTATGGCCTCAAAACTTTGTGGTTTAGCTCTGTTCCATGCAAAGTCAGGCTTCAGGGAAGGGATTCCTATTGCATGCCACAAGAACTTGATCCTGTGTATCTCCACACCCTCCCCAGCACTTAAATTGCTTGAAATCATAAAGGATGATGGCAGAAATCCTAATGAATTTTCCAGAGTTCAGGGGTAAAACATTCCAATCAATAATGTCAAATGCTTCACTGAGATCTACAAGTCTCTTGCTCACCATCTAATAAGGGATTAACTGCTCAGGGAAAATGGAAATGGAAACCCAGCAGGAGAAAATTAAAAATGCTGGGCCAATATTCTGATTTAGTAGGAAATGGGGGAGACTTGGGGGTTGCAGGGTTTGTGTTTGGTCTCATAACACTTTGATTTGTCCCCATGATGTTAATATGGTTCCTGATTCAGGAAAGGAATTGCAAATTGGGTGTGAGATCCTGTAACCTGAACAGGATTAAATTCATAATTAAAATTAAGTGCATGGAAAGAGCTTCATGGAACAGGGGCTGAGGACAGGGCAGGCTGGAGAAGCCCTGTTAGGAAAAGAATTTGTATTAAAGGGATAAAAGAAGGAGAGAGGAATTTATCAGCTTCTCTAGAAATCTCTGGAAAAGGCTCTCCAGGAGGGGAATGTTTGGGTCAGCCTCAGCAGGTTGGAGGAGTGAAAGGTCACTGGTCTTGTCAGAGCTGGTGTTTGGGGTTTTAATGCCAACAGGCTGGAATCCTGCCTTTTAATTTAGGATTGCTTGTAGATTTTGAGGGTTTTCTGCTGCTTTTCAAGTGTCTAATCCCACACCAGGGTGGTCAGTGAGGTCTCACCACCCGTCTAAGTAAGACCAAGCAGGATTAAGTCAAAATTAGCAACAGAGTGGAAGCCCAAGGTTTGTTGGGATCATTGAGCTGGGCAAGATTGTCCCTGCAGGACCACTGGCAGCAGTGAACAAACCTGGTCAGGCTCTGGGAGGAGGAGAGGATGCAGAAGCTACTGCAGGGCTGGAAGTCACAGCCAGGGTAAGGTGGGGGAAGCAGCCCCAGGCTGGAGACTGAACCCTCTGCCAGGAGCTGGGATGGGAAGAGGATGCTCTTGGAAGTATCCATGAGGAAAATGCAGCCTTGATAGTAATGAGCTGCAACGGCTTAATTCCAGCAGTCAGGAGGTGACAGTAATTAAAAGTGAAATCTCAGTTGCAACAGTGAGCACGAGGAAGAAAATAGCTGATTGTTAACGAGCCCAAAGCCATGGAAACTGCTGTGCATGAGTGAGAAACGGGGGTTGTGAGGCTTGGTGGACAAAGAAACCTGGGGAAAGGCAACCAAAGGCTAGGTGAGCAGGAGAAGGGATGAGCTCTGACACTATGGACATTCCCTGCTGCTCCAGCAGGGAACTGGAGGTTGTAGCGAGGGATGGATGATCTCTGTGGGGTCTGAAAGGCAGGATTTGGCTGCTGGACATGCAGATCTAGAAATCATTTCTTGTGGGTCTGCCTGTCAACGAAGTGGTCAGAGAAGGCCACCCATGATGGCTGAAGCAGCACAGTCAAGTTTCCTTCTGTGGGAGCAGGCATTGGATCTCAGGAGCAATTCCCCCTGGAAATTCCTGCTTCTCTCAGGAGCATTTTCCCTAGCCAGCAGACTGATCAGAGCCACCAAAACGCTGAAAAACCTGCCTAGATTAGGAAAGGAAAACTGCAGAAACTGAGATAGAAAGGACTGGGAAGCAACAAGGACAAGCAGAGAGACGACAGCAATGGATGAAACGAGCTCACACAAAGGCCACCCCAGCTGAGCCAGGCTGTGCACAGAACACTCTCCAGCTCCGAGCTGCAGCAGGACGGGGGGATTTTCGTGCCCCAAGCTGACTTTTCCCTGCCTTTCCCCCGCAGCTGTCCTCGGCGCTGCTGTTCGACGCGGTGTACGCGGTGGTGACGGCGGTGCAGGAGCTGAACCGCAGCCAGGAGATCGGCGTCAAGCCCCTGTCCTGCGGCTCAGCACAGATCTGGCAGCACGGCACCAGCCTCATGAACTACCTGAGAATGGTGAGAGGGGGCTGAGGGCTGCTCCTGGCTGCCAGCAGCGGGGCTGGCTCTGCCCCGGCTCTTTGAAGGCAGTGAAAAGAGAGATCTGAGGGTTTGGGTTGTCACGGGCCTTGGAACGACATGAAACTCTCCCTTTTTCAGGCTTTGCTGCAGAAAAGCTGGAATTCAATTGTTTTTTTTTAAAGTATGAATGTTTCTAAGTGATTTGAGCTCTGACTTGAGCTGATACGAGATCACGCAGTACAATTGCTCAGAGCTCAAGGGCAAGATGTAAGTTCCCCTAAGGGTTTGGGCTCCTTTGAACCCAAAATTGTCATTTCTGGAACAAAACAAGCCTAAACCTGGCACGAGAACACTCTGAAATCCCATCCTTTTGAAACAGTTGGAGTTTGTGGCTCCTCAGAGCTGAGGTGACCATGAAGCAGGAGCAGGTTTCTGACTCTGTTTGGGTGTAAATGAGACAAGGAAATTTTATAGAAGTTTTTTATTTATGAGAGTTTTTTCCCCCCAGAGGAAAGCTCAGCTGAACCTGAGCATTGTACCACTTTGGCTCATTGTTTTAAACCCCACCTTTAGCCAAGGACAACAAAATCCTCCAGCTCCCCACAGCTCTGCTGCTTGAAGACCCAGTGGTCTTAGCCTTGGGATGGAGGGAGGGGATGTGGAGCTGGTTTTCCCAAAGCAAGAACATCTGGGAGTCCTGCACCTCATGCTGGTGATTCCCTGCTCCACTCCTTGTCTTTTCTCCTCTAGCCAGACTCCAAAAATAATTAGGACTGAGCTAAAAGGGTTTCATTGCTGTTCCTGCTGGGAGTGAGTGTGGGGCCATCCCTCCTCTCTCTGGACAAGGAACTCTCAGGATTTTGGGCCTGTAAGCCAAAGCTTAGAATTAAACACAGGATTTGATTTGAGACCTTGCAGAAGGCTTCCAAACTTAGGTGCTAGAAGCAAGAATGTGGATTTATAGTTTAAAGCAGAGACATATTAAGCTAAGCAGAGAAAAGTTGAGAGTTTTAGAGTACAGTACTGTAGAGTTTTAAAGTATAGTGCTGTACTCTAAAACTGTCCAGTTCAGAGTTGTTAATGTGTTTCTGTGCTTGAAATAATGGCTTTAGATTCTTTGCTGGAATCCACTTTGGTCCTGAACCTGCGGAGACACAAGCATTCCCTTTGCCCCAGGTTATAAGTGGAAATGTTCCTTCAATTTGTCCCGTTTCTGGGTTTCTGATCAGGACTGAAGGACTTTCTTTCCATTTTGCCTGTGTAGTATTAGGGAAGTGCCAGTACTGGGGAAGGGCAGCCTCGCTGGGCGCTGTAACTGAGTCTCTCTTGGACAGGTAGAATTGGAAGGTCTCACCGGCCACATCGAATTCAACAGCAAAGGCCAACGCTCCAACTACGCCCTGAAAATCCTGCAGCACACTCGCGGTGGCTTCCGGCAGGTGAGAGCAGCCAGGGCAGGGCTGGGGTGTCCTGGGCTCAGGGGGATGCTCTGGGGACCAAAAGGGGCTGTGCACCCCTGTGGGTATTTTCTGGGGTTCCCCGTGGCAGGAAGGAATGAATCTGATTCCATGTTCTTAGAAGGATAATTTATTATTTTGTGTTACTATATTATATTAAAGAATGCTGTAGTAAACTATACTAAAGGATACAGACAGGAGGCTAAAAGATAATAATGAATCTCATGCCACTCTCCAGAGTCCAACACAGCCTGACAGTGGTTGGTCATTAAATTAAAACACTTCACATGAAACCAATCAAACAATGACCAGTTGGTAAACAATGTCCAACCACATTCCAAAGCAGCAAAACACAGGAGAAGCGAATCAGATAATTATTGTTTTCATTTTTTCTCTGAGGCTTCTCAGCTTCCCAGGAGAAGAAATCCTGGCAAAGGGATTTTTCAGAAAATGTGACATTGACAGACGCCCCTTGTTTGCACCATGAGGTGCTCGGGGTGTCACCTTAGCTCTGGCTGAGCCCTGGCTGGCAAACTCAGCGTGTTTGACTGAGGAATGTGCCTCAGGATGGTTTGGATTTGTCTTAATCCATCAGGCCCTGGAGGGGGTGATGGCAGAGGCAATCTCTGGCCTGTCACAGGTGTTAATTCAGGGCAGGGAGTCTGTGCCAGGTGCAAGCTCACACTCCTTTAGTTCTTAAGCTTGTGGCTGCGTTTCCTTAAAATTATTTGGATGGGAGAATTTGCTATGAAATAGGGGAAAAAATAGGTACTGTGAATTTTTTCAAACTGTTTCTGGGGTAGAAAGCAAATGGGGCAAACCCATGTGAGGGGCTCCCCATCATCTCCCCCCTGTGAGGGGAAGTTCAAGCTCATTTCACTCTCCGTTTGTGGTTCCTCTCTAACAGGTTTGCTCAGCTCACACTCATTTACTTTTTGTCTCGGTGCTCGTAGGTTCTTCACAGCTTTCCTCTGCCCACAGAACACCGAGCAGACTTCATTAAAATCATTAATTTGAGTGGTATTTCCTCATCTCACACTTTCTGCCCGAGCCATATTTTCTGGTTTGAGTTGAAGTTGAGGATATCAGACTGATGAGATTACACAACACAAATCCAAGGAATTTGCTGGTGAATCCAAACCTTATTCAGGAGGAAAACAAAAAAAATAGAAGTCCCATAAAAAAACCAGGTGTTTAATCTGTCTTGTTTCTCTGCTGACAGCTCCACTGCTGCCCTTTTCTCAGAGATTGCCACTTCTAGATGCTGGCAGAGAACAAAAGCTATTGTACCCTACCCTGACCAACAGAGCATTTTGGCACCAGGAACCCTCTCCTGGCCTGGCAGCAGTGAATTTCAGCCTTGGCAAGGATGTTACCTGCCAGTCCTTACCTGTCAAGTGACAGCTTGGCTTTGATGCTGCCTTTCTCTGAGCGAGCAGGGGGGATCAGGATGGCATTTTCCCCACAGAGATCTCTCACAGCATCAATGCCCTTTTAATCCTCTCCCAAACCCATCACCCTCTGAACAGAAGTGACACATCCAAGCCCATCTGCATTAATAAGAGCACAAATTCAGCTGGATTCAGGAAGGAAAGGCTGCACAGCTCCCTGTGACAGCTTTGGTTTTGATGTGTTTGAATGTGGCAGGGACTGCACGTTAAACTCCCAGGTCCCCTTGGAGCAGAGCTTCTCCCAGAGCTCCGTGGGGAGCTGTGACTGCAGCCTGATCTGCCCTGAGACTAAAGTCTCATCCCTTCCCCACAAACCTGCTGTGACAGGAGAAAACCTTTGCTGACCTGTTGTAACAGCTCGGTAAAAAAGGAGCTCTGTGTCTGTGACGTGCCCAGGCTGCACTGGGATCAAGCTTTCCACATTCCCCATCAGGCTGCAGGGATGAAGCACTTCCAGCCTCAGGGAGAAAGTGCTGGAAGGACAGGGCAGCTCCTTGGGGGTGGCTGCAAGCCCTGCCTTGTCACAAACCCACCAGGAAAGAGCTGATTTTTATAAAACTGCTCCTGTCTCCGCTTTTCTGCCTTCTCTCCCTTTCTCAGGGAGCTTTTCTGATCCACAGCAGTGCCCAGAGGGGGGTCAGGGCTCCTCCCAGCCTCAAGGAGTTTGTTGAGATGTGTTTAACTGGGAAGAGCCTCCCCAGAGAGCTGTGAGACCCCTCAGGCTCTGCCCAACCTGCCTCCCCTCCACAAAGAGAAGCCAAAGGCTGCTCTGCTGTGCCATAAATGGTTATTTTCTTGTTGCCAGCCTGGCTTCTTTTAATGAAAAAGACTAAACAAATCATCAGAAATATTTTAATTAAAGGGACAGGGTAAAGAACAGGCATTCACATCCTGGAGACAATCTTGCTCTCAAGGGTTGCATTAACTGATTTGTTTGAAACACTTCTATTCCCTGCTTAGTTTCAACCAAGCTCATTTCAGCTCTGCCCATTCCTCTCTTTCCCTCTTTCTCTCTCCTCCTCTCTCTCCTTCCACCCAGTGAAGCCACAGGGACTTCCAGCTCATCAGCTTTGATGGAGAGTTCACCAAATTTTGAGGCTGATCCAGCTAGGAAGCAAATTAGAGACACTTAGATTCTCTAACTTGCTGCTGCTTTTGGGCAAGGAGAGGCAGGGCTTTTTGACATCCAATTTTTAATACATTTATGTAATGCACCAAACACGTCTCTTCCTGATTTAGCTTAACCAGGGAATTTTTTCCACAGCCATATGAGAGCTGCTCTCTCTGCTCACAGGATGCTCGATAAAGCACAGGCTCATTAATGTGCTGGTGATCTATAGATCTGACAAGGGCTGGGTTTGGTAAATGTCATCTTTTTATTTTTTTCCCCCCTTTTCTTTGCCCCTCTAAAAAACACTGCAGAGTTCCAGCAGAGTGATTTGCTGTAAATCACGAGCTGAGGTTTGGGAACTTCATGGTGGAGGTGATTTAGGGAGGGGAAGGGGGAAGCTGCAGACCCTGACCCCATCCTGAGTGAGGCTGATCAATCTGCACTTACCACAGGCCCTGCTGGTGTCCTGAGACAGAGCAGTGCAGGGGCTGGGGCTGTTAATTGGGATGTTGATGAGATACAGATGAGTTCCCCACCAATAGCTCTGGGACCCTTCACAGTCCCTGCCACATCAAACCTTTTTAATTGAGCAGCAGCTAATCAGCCTCGCTGGGACCAGTTCCTCTTTAGCTGCTGCCCCCAGCCCAGGGACAGGTTCTGCCAAGAGCTCGATGGCTTCTGCCCCCAGGACCTGACAAAGTCAGTGTGTGCCCTACAGCCCTGCCTGGGCCTGCCAGGTGTCAATCATGTGGTCCAGAGGGGACATCTGGCAGGAGGGGACATCTGGGGGATGCTGGTGGCCTCAGGGGTGAGGTGTGTGTGTGTCTCGTGGTTCTTTGGTTTAAAGTTGATGTTTGCAGTGCTAATTTCACTGCAGGAGCTTTTGCCTCCTTGCTGCGCTGGCATCAGCGGTGTCACTCAGGAATCCAACCCCGTGGCAGTGTCCTCAGGGGGATTTCCTTCATTTGTTTGTTTGATTCCCTTTTTCCCCTCCCCAGTCACTCCCAGGTTCCCTCTCCTTGGGGCACCTTGATTGCATTGTGCACTCCTCCCTTTTCCTGGGGACACGGAGGGGGGAGATGATGGGAGCTGTAGGACACCACTTGTAATCAGAGCCCACAAGGTTCCTGTTGCTGTCTGCTGCTCCAAAATCTGGATTCAGGGCTGGCTTTGCCTTAATTTGAAGCTGGGAGTGGGGATGGTAAATATCTCTGAAGCTCATGAACAAGTCTTGCCCTGTCATCTCTGTGCCTACAGAAAAATAAGCAGAAGATTTCATTAAAATCACTGCTTTGAGAGGTATTTCATCACCATGAGGAGCCTCAAAGCCTCTGCACAGAGGGTGGAAGGAGCGAGCCAGGAATGCTCCACGTGGGGATTTTCTACAGAGATGAGAAATCTTTCTGTGCCACCAACCCAAATAACACCTTTTCCAGAGCAGCTAAATTGAGGCACCTCGGGTGCCTGTGGGGAGGGAGCAGTGGCACGAGCAGTGGCACTTCCCTGCTCCTTCCAGCCTCGAGGCTTTCTGGGCTGCTTCACACTCCGAGTTTCACAGTTTGTGTTTGCCTCGACATGCCTGTGGGTGTTTGAGGCAGGGCTGGATCTCCTCGGGGCACAGGGAGATGCTGGGAGGTGCAGAGATGATGCTGGGGGGGTCAGACATCCCTGAGGACATGAAGGGAACTTTCTCCAGCCAGGTCCTGGGCTGTCACCAGGTCACATCATCCCTCTCTCAAAGGTGTTGAGCTCCAGCTTGCACCCAGCAGGTTGTGCAGCCCTCGTTGCTCTTCTAGGACAGCTATCACTCCAGCTCCTCTGATCATTAGGAACCTCTCCCCTGCTCTGTCAGCCTGTTTATTTCTGGCTGGTTTGTATGTGTTTATTTTTGTGCCAACGCCATCATTTCAGCTTCAAAAAGCTGTTCTACCTCTTTGCTACAGACCTCCTCCACCTGCAGTATTTATAAAGACCAATCACATCCTCTGCTTAAAAACCCTGACTCCTAAAAGCCCTGAGTCCTAAAACCCCTCAAGTCCTTGTCCAGAGCCTTAACAACAGGATGGTCTCATCCCTGTCCGTGCGGAGCATTGGATTGTTTTCTAAAAAAACTTAGCAGATGGATATGTTTTCTGTTTTCCAGAGGCTCTTTATATGTAGATAGAGATGATTAAAATCACCTTGACATCCATCTTGCAGAAGAGGGACGTGAGGGGCCCTGACACCCCCTGCCACTGCAGAAACAGCAGCAGGAGGAGCTTTGTCAGCCCGTGAGGGACACAGGGGTGAGCTGGAGCCAGCCAGGATGGGGAGAAGTGCCCCAGCACGTGGCACTCGTGGCCTTGGTGCCTCTAAAAGCAAGGTCAAACCCACAGCCCTGTCAGGAGAAGAGGCAATTAGTCTCAGCACATGCCAGCAGGGGAGGGACAAATTGGAGAACAGCGAGGGCTGTTAAAATTAAAGTTAATCTGTCACTAATCTCTGGTTGAGAAATCCGGGAGGGAAGAAGAATTAGGCAATGTTTGTGAGTGATGACTCGCTCTGAGAGGCGACTGCTGCAGAGGGGCTGCTGTTCAGCACTCAGAGCAGAGGGGGGGAATTCAGCAGGGATTCATCCTGCTTGGATTCAGGCCAGTGGAAGCTGTGCTCCAAGGGCTCCCTGCCCGTGAAATGGGTGGGAAATCTCCCAGTTTGGGGCTGTGTTCCCAGGGTGAGCCCTGCACTAGGAATGGTCACGGCCCCAAGGCTGCCAGAGCTCCAGGAGGGTTTGGACACTGCTGTCAGGATTGGGCTGGGATTGCTGGGATGTCTGCAGGGCTTTGATGATTCTGAGTGCAAAGCTGTCCTGCTTGCCCTTCCCACTGCTCCTTGTGCCTTGGGATCAGGAGGCTGGATTTGGGACTCCTCATGGATTCCCATGGTGGCTTCTGGGTCACTTGGGCTGGATTTGCAGCAGCACCTGGGACTGGAGAGGACTTGGCCCTTCCCTGGGACTGGAGAGGACTTGGCCCTTCCCTCAACACCCAGGGGGACTCTGTCTGTGAGGGTGGCTGTGCTGGGCTCAGATCCAAGCCATCCCAAGTCCTCGAGCCTTTGGTCACACCAGAGGCCAAGCAGTGCCCAGAGCAGGCACAGAGTCAGTCCCAAGGCTCCCCACCACCTTCCCTCCCTGTTAATAACAAGATTAACCCATGACAGAAAGGAAAATCAATCCTTTCCTCCCAGCCTGACAGCGAGAGGAGAACCTGCCTCAGTCCCAGTGCACAGGAGGGAGCTGGCTGGGCATGGATTTGCTCTGGAGGAGCTCTGGAGACCCCCCTGCCCCTTTGGGATCACCCACTGCCTTTCACCCCACTAGAGAGGTATCAGAGGACACCAGCAGAGTGCTGGAACCTGATGGGACAGAGGAGGAAATGGGGGTTCATAGGGAGCTGGCCTCTTCAGCCCCCCCTGTATCCACGAGGAAAAGCAGAGCAGGAAAAGCAGAGGCTCTTTTAAGGACAGTAAGAGAGCAGGAGTTTAATTTGCACGTTCTGAACAAGCTGCTGGAGGTGCTGATGTCCCTGCCCAGAGCTCTGAGGGAAGGAGATTAGGCTCTTGAAGTTAAAATTAGGTTTTGTGGAATATTCCTCCCCCCTGGCTGAAGGCAGTTGTGTCACAGCTGAATCACGATGTCCTCCCGAGCCTGGGGGGACTGGTTCCTGCCATCCACGCTGGGAATTGGGGTTTGCTGCAGCCACACTGATGCTTGGGTGGGTAAATTTGGGTGTGATGATCCTGAATCAAAGGTTTGGACGTGCTTAATTGTGGTAGTTAAGAGCTGGAAGAGGAGTCGTGGAGCAGCACCACTGAGAAGGAGGCTTTGTCCCACCCAGGAGGGCTCCCAGCACCACACTTGTAGGGACAATCCCACAGATTGGGGATTTCTGGCTAAGATGGACCCATTTGGTGGCATTTGGGGACAACATTCAAGGCTGTGTGCCTTGCAGGGAGCTGCCCAGCTCAGCTCTGCAGGGAGGACACGTGGGAAGGCAGCACAGGGCCAGGCTGGTGGCCCTGCAGAGCAGGTGGGGCGTGCACAGAGGGTTAATCTCTCTGCTGACCCGTTCTGGGGTTGTGAAGGTAATGGAGCATCCCTGAACAGGCCAGCTCAAGGACTGTCACTCAGCAGAGCCATATGGGCAGTGCCTCGCCCTATAAATCCCCTTATTGTGCTGTTTATCTCTCCAGATTGGCCACTGGCACGTCTCTGAAGGGCTCAGCATGGACAACAGGATCTTCTCCTCCAACATATCCGACAGCCTGTTCAACACCACGCTCATTGTCACCACCATCCTGGTAAGGGAGGGGTGCACCTGCAGTCCCCATCGGGCCAGCCCAGCCCTCTGGGGGGGTCAGCTGGAATCCTGCTCCCTGCTCCTGCCCCTCAGCCCTGCACTGGGCTGATTTCACACTGCAAGTCTCCAATTACAGCCTGGGGGACAATTCCTGGCTGTGTAATTGGGCTCGGGTCGATGTTGCATATGGAAATGGCATTTGGTGGGTTCAGAGGGTTCGTGTTTGATGGGTTCAGAGGGGGCTGGGATGGGGACACGCTGCCAGTTTGCATCCAGCTCGGAATGAGGTTCTTGTCTGGTGTACAGCTGCTGAGTTGGAAGGGACAGTGGCCCCTTCTACCCATAAAATTATAAAAATTGGCCAAGATGGGCAGGATTTTTATGAAAACTTGGCATGTACAGGCACCACTGTCTGTATTGAACAGGTTCCCTTCCAGGTGCTGCCTGTCCAGTGATTTTTTTGCCCCTTCTTTAAAGACACCCAAACTCCTGCCTGTCTCCTCACAAAGTTTGTTGGAAAGGGGACAGATTGGAGAAGTGGCTCTGTGCCAGGAGAGATTGAAGTCTGGATGTCCTGCCATGACTCACTGGGCTGCTCTTGCACTTCCCAGCTGGAAAAAGCCCCCAAATCATCATCCCTCAGCTCTGCTTTGTGTCCTAAACCAAGATAAATCTGTACCTCCACACAGCAGGGGCCAGGGAGCACCAGTGTGGAGACAGCTCTGAGAGCTCAGCCCCACCTGAGCTCCCAAGCTTTCCTCATCCAGTTTGAGAGGGATCCATTGTGCTGGAATGTGCTTTTTGGGGTTAGAACTAGACTTTTTTAAAATTTCCCCCAAACCCACCCCACCGTGTGAGCTCTGGCACTGCCCTCCCTGCTCCGTGCTGGTGGGACACCTCGGCTAAGATGGGAATGACAGCTGCCCAGTTTCACTGCAGGAAAACCCTTACTTAATGCTGAAGTGGAACCACCAGGAGCTGGAAGGCAACGACCGCTACGAGGGTTTCTGCGTGGACATGCTGAAGGAGCTGGCGGAGATCCTGCGCTTCAACTACAAAATCCACCTGGTGGGGGACGGCGTCTACGGCGTCCCCGAGGCCAACGGCACCTGGACAGGGATGGTCGGGGAGCTGATAGCTCGGGTGAGTGGATTAGCTGCTCTTTTAAACGCGGCTCTGCTGGGCTTTGGCGCTGCAAAGCCCCCCCCGTGCTCCGTGATGATGAGGATGGATGGGGTTTTGGTCCGTTTGGGAGGCTTGGAGCAGAGGGTTTGTGTGGCATTCACATTTTCTGAAAAAGCTCTTCGCCCAGGATTTTTCTCATGGGAAGCTGAGACGCCCCAGAGAAAAATGAAAACAATAATTATCTCATTTGCTTCTCCTGTGTTTTGCTCATGTGGAATGTGTTTGGAGGTTGTTTACCCACAGGTGATTGTTTCATTGGGTTCTGCTGTGAGTTGTTTTCACTCTTTGGCCAATCAGTGCCAAGCTGTGTTGGGACTCTGGAGAGAGTCACAAGTTTTCATTATTATCTCTTTAGTATTGTGTAAGTATCCTTTCTGTATTCTTTAGTGTAGTTTAGTATAGCACTCCTTAATATGGTACAGTATCATAAAATAATAAATTAGCCTTCTGAGAACATGGAGTCAGATCCATCATTCCTTCCTTCTTCTGGAGGAAACCCAAATACAGTAGGTTTGCACTGTGTCCTCCTGATGGAGAATGTGTTTCTTGGGGTGGGGTGGCAGTGTGGGAAGAAGTCAGAGCAAGAGCAGGGCTGTGGGATGCTCTCAGGGGTGCTCACTTTGTTGGGAAGGAAGTTTGGACTCTGGGATCCCGTGTACGAACTCATTACAGAATAGATTATTTTCCTAGTGGAAAGATTAATGAAAACTTGCAACGTGAAAATGCAGAGCTTGATAGAAGCTGGAAAAGTTTACAAAACCACACTGGGGTGGAAGCAAATAAGAATCCCATTTCTGCCTAGAAAAGTTTTGGTGGATTCAGTTCAGCTGCTTAACTCAGTGTTGCTTTTAGAGAAGCACATTTCCTATTTCCTTGAAGTGCATGGCTTGAGATCTTTTCACTGCTCTGCTCTGTGGAGCTGCTGCCCAGCAGCAAAGCTGAAAACTGAATTATTTTGCTGGGTTTGACAACAATTCTGTGTACACCTGGGCTCAGCCAGCCTGGACCCTTCTCCCTGCTCTTTGTTTTCCTCTGTGGTGTTTCCCAGGCTTCCTGAAGCTTAAATACAGCTCACAAACTGCTCTGAGATCCTTAGGAAAATAGGCTTAGCCACAGCTAACAGTGGGATTGATGCTATTTAAGCCAATACTTCCTCACTGATTCCTGCCTTGTCATTCCTGACGTGGCCCTGAGAGCCCAGTGCCACTTTCCCAGCTGGTGACAAATCCATGGTGACGTGGGTTGGTGATAATCCCCCCGCTGTGGGAGAGGAGACCCTGAGTCATTTGCAGAGGAGCAAGAGTTCAAATCCATCCCCTGGGACTCCAGGCAGGGATCTGAGACTCTTTCCTCCCTGGAAAATGGCCATCACTTCACTCTGTGGTTTACTGGGCACAGTGGAATTCGGTTGGAAGTTGGGTTTGAGGATTTTGGAGGCTTTTCCATGGTTCTGTGGTCTTTAATGGGTCCGTGATCTCTGGAAATGCCCACTGGCACCTCCTGCTCCTTCCCCACGTGGTGCAGGGCAATGCTCATCCCACTTCAGGAGTTTCAACTGGGTGTTTGAGGTCAGCTGGGACAACTCTTTGCCTGGAAGAGGGAGGGATTTTGGGTTTTCTGGGGGTCACAGGCAGGGCACTGAACAGACTGGAGACTCCGCTGAGCTCTCCCTGTCTCTGGGGTCACCCCTCCCCGAGCAGTCGCTCTCAGTGCCAGCTGAGATCCCACCTCCATCTGCTCTTTCCAAAGAGCTTCTGTGAGGCTGTTTGCAAATGCTCCAGGCTATTGGCATCGTTTTTATCCATCTTTGTGTCTCTGTGTGTACACACACACAATTACACTCCTGCAATATTCCTTTGGGGAGGGAAGAGGGAAGGAGCTGAGAGCTCAAAAGAAGGGAACAGCCATCAAACTTCTGGCCTGCTAACCTTGGCAGTGCCTCTTCATTAAATGGGACCTTCTGGAAGGTTTGTTTTTCTCCAGTGATGAGTATTTTAACTTCATCTTCACACAGAAACCGTTTGTTTCTTCTGCAGCCTTATTTAGGAGGGTTTTTTGCTTCTGCAGGGCAGAGCTGTCAGAGCCTCTGAGGCTGGATCAGAAATTGGGGAAGAGAAACAGCTTTGTCTCTTGTTCTTCCTATATCCCTGAGAGTTTTTATAATGGTTTCAGCAAGTTTTTGATCAATCCCAGGCACTGGGCTCAGGCCAGCCAGGGCAGAGCTGGGTGTGCTTGGTGTTGTGTTTATTCAGGGCTGCCTGGGATGTTGTTTTTTGAGGTCATTTCACTGCCCAAGGGGCTTCTGTCCATCCTTGACACTCAGTTCCCAAGGGGATTTATCCTTGATTCCAGCCCCTTGTTCACCCCTGTCCCATGGGATCCAGCAGATCCTGTGCTGGGTGCACATATTCCTCTTTCAGTGGATTTATATATTATAGAAATTATAAATATATTTCTATTTTTACTCTGCCCCTTTAGGACAAAAAGGAGATCTGTTGGGGCACAAACCTCTCACAAAAGTGCCCAGTCCTTCCCAAAAATGGAAACTCTGCCTCTGTCCAGCACAGTGTCATTGTAGGAAAATAATTTTGCCTTGATCCTGATCAGCTATCAGAAAATAAGGTTTGACTCACACTCACTTAATGTGCAGGACCAAAAGGTCACAGAATTATCCAGCCTCCCCTGTAATCCCTCTGTGGCACGGAATCTCCTCAGAGCAACTCTAGGCTATTTGGGAGAAAATGTTTCATTTTATTGCTTCTAAATTAACCAGCTATTGATTTATTCTTAAGTGCTGGGAATTCCATTGCAGCTAATTGTGCACCCTGATATGAATGAGCAGCATGCTGGACAAACACAAATCTGTTGTTGACCCAAATTCACCAGTATATATCTTATTGACCTGCTCACTAAACAGGCTGGGAGGTGAGGAAGAGGGGACTGGCATGGCTTGGGAATCCTGTACAGTTTGTGATCAGCTCATGGAGGTTTGGTTTGGGAAAAGTCACCTGGAAGGACTCAGAGTCACAGAATGGTGATTTAGTTTCAACCCCCTTTACATCTTCCACTATCCCAGGTTGCTCCAAGCCTCATCCAGCCTGGCCTTGAACATGCCAAGGGATGGGGCAGCCTCAGCTTCTCTGGGAATTCCATCCAGCCCCTCACAGGGAAGAATTCCTTCCCAATATCTCCTTCAGTTCCAAGCCTCTCCCCCTTGTCCTGTCACTCCAGTTCCTGATGAGGAGTCCCTCAAGCCCATCCTGCAGTGAGAGATGTCACAAATGCAGAAAAGCCTGGGCTAATTTGTCCCTTTGAGCATGCAGGGCAGGGAGATTGAGCACCCAGCTCATTCCTGGAGTGAGCAGGGCACTAAAGCCACTCTCTGACTCTCCCTGTCAGCCTTCCTGGCTCTGGCACAGACAAACAAACAAGGGAGAACAGCAAATCTTCTCATCTCCTCCTTTCTGGCATCAGAGACTTAAAGGGCATTTGGGCTGGAAGAATTACATCCTGCTCCTTGCTGCTGCAGTGCAGCTCTGGCTCAGGGTCCTTGATGGTGTCTTCTCTTCTCCTTCTCTCTCTCCCCAGCACATCCTCGAGCTGCAATGAATTCTCTGGCTGACACAAACCAAGGGATGAATTTTCACAGCCTTAGCCTTGTCCCACCATGCCTGGCTTGAGTCTGGCCATGATCAGTGGTGATCAAAGCTCTTTTTAAAGTGAGGGACATGAAATTATCCATCCTGTCCAGCCTCAGGAGCAGCAACACCAAGAACAGGGAAGCTCTTAGAGCTTTGGGGTGCTGGTTTTCCTTGCTGCTGGCCAGGCACTGCTTTCCCTTCAGCTGCTCCAAAGCTGGGGAATGGCAGGAAGGGAAAAGGAGGGAGAAGCTCTCCAGAGCTGGCAGAGTCCTGCTCTCCCCTCGCAGTGGGTGTTGGTGTGTGCAGAGAAAAGCTGTGTGTGGGTGAAGGGAGGCAGGGGGAGATGTTTGCAGCCTGTGGTGGTGGCAGCTGTGACAAGGGGGCTCCGGGAGGGGGCTTTGGGTGGCTGTGCTAATGGTGAGGGGACAGGCAGAGGGGTCTGCAAAGCACTGCTGGGAAATCCAGCCCAGGATGGGGAGGGTGCTGTGAGCTGGGCTGGTGCCACTGCTGTCCCTGCGTGCTTTGGGTCCCCACTGCTGGTGCTTCACCTCAGCTGGCTTTGCCACGGACAGGGTGAGCACCTGGCACAGGCTTTGTGTTCCCACAGAGAGGCCAGGTGAGGAGAGGTGGGCGAGGGCAGACTCGAGGCTGACACCTGCACTGAGTGCTCATCCCACCCTGCTGGGGCTTGCAGGCAGAGCTGCAGCCTGCAGGGTTTCCAGGCTGTCACTTCCGATATGGCAGAACTCACATTTGTCCTTAAAAAGTCCCCAGACACCTGTTTGGAGTGACCTTCCTGCCTTTGAATGCAAGAACAGGCATCAGGGGTGGCATGGGACAGCAGAGAACCTCTGCAGAGAGCAGGGTCACCTCCAGCTGGATGGCCTTCCACTGGGGCAGCCCCAGTGCTGCTGGCTCTGCAGTGCTGGCTCCTGAAGCTTGAACAGCTGTCTCACCTTTCTGGGAGGCTTTTTGAGCACAGGGACAGTGCAGAAGAAGGGTTTGCTGCCCCTGGTCGTGCTGTCAGGGCTCGGTGGGCAGTGCTGGTGACAATGCTGCTGTCACAAGCACCCAGGGGATGTGGCATCCGAGGAGCTGCTCAAGCCAGGGACCGCTGCTCCTGGAAAAGACCCCAGCCCTGTGCCCCCAGAGCTGTCTGGTTTGTTCTCCAGGTGTTTGACACATCCCCAGCCCCGAGCCTCGCTCCCTGCGCTGTGTCCCCTCAGCCTGGCGGAGGGCTGGGGACTCTGTGGGGCCTCAGCTGGGCTCTTCTCCCGGCTGCTTTCTGCCATCCCATGCCGTGGGAGGCTTTTCTGGGATCTCTCCGGGCTGGGGCTGACGTCAGGGCCCATTCATCACCATTAGCTCCGAGCTGAGCCCTGTCAGAGCCCGCGGCGAGGGGGCGGACGCCGCCTCTGGACTGGCAGTCCCTGCAATTTGCTCCTGAAGGATGCTTAATTGTTGTTCCTCCTCGGGAGCCCGGCTCAGCCCCCGTGTTTAATGTCCTTCCCAGAGCCCTGCTGCAGGCAGAGCCCACGGGAATGCCAGGTAGGGAGGTGGTGGTGGCAGCTTTTGTCTGGCACACCAGCCCACCTGGGTTTCCTCTCCCCTAGCGAGGTCTGGCCTTGCTTGGGCGGTGTGTTCTCGAGAGAAGTGGCTGTCTCCACTCCCAAAAAGCTCTGGGTCTTTTTCTAAGCCTATTTCATGCCAACATTTATAGCTGCAACTGTGCTGGCAGGATGAAACCCAACCCCTCTTCCCCCCTATCCTTTGCCTCCTGTTTTTCCCTCTCCCCAGAGCCCAGACATGGACAGAGTGCAGGGGCACAAAGCAAAATCCATTTCTCCTCGCCCAGGGCATCCCTTGGCCCGTAAAATCCCAGCACCTGCCTGTGCTCAGGTGGGGAGGCCAGAGAGAACTCAGGTTTGCAGAGCTCCTCTGTAGCTCCACTGAGCTCAGTGAATCACCAGAAGTTTTGTCAGGAAGCAGAGTTGAAAGCATGAAATGGATGAAATTCAGGCAGAGAATTCTTTGCATGCCATTCCCAGATCAAAGTTTCCTGCTATCAGAGATCAGCTCTTAACTTGCATGACTGAGGCTGCAGAGAGAAGAGAGAGGGAATGATGAGGAGCCGGAGCTCTGCTGCAGAAAGTTCTGCACCTCTGATGTGGCAGAAGTCCTGAAAAGTTAGCAGGGAATGAGCAGAAGGAAATAACTCTGGTGGAGTGGCAGAACCCCCTGGAGATGAGAGGAGGGAGCTGGGCACAGAGTGCTGGGGAAGGCTGTGCTGTGTCTCTGCTCTGTGCACAGAGGGAGGGATGGATTTGGAGTAGATTTTATGTGGGGAAGAGCAGTTCAGGATGCTGCTGAGGATTCAGCAACACCAAGATGTTGCTGCTGCTCCTTCACCAGCACCTTTATATTTACCCCTTGGTAGGAATGAAAATTTCCTGCAAGCTTTGGCATGAACCCCTTTTGCCATGGCATTTTTACCTTCTGCTTTAGTGTGTGACTTTGCTGGTTGGACTGTGTTTAATTTGGAGGAGAATTCCATTGTCAGACTGAGCTGTGTCTTCAGCAGGGGCTTTGCTGGGAGGGCTCTGCCTGGTACAATGGCACCTAGAAACCTTTTAAGGAGAGACAAGAGGGGTTTAGGAAATGGGACAATGGCACCTACAACCCTTTTCAGGTAGAAACAAGAGGAGTTTAGGAAGCTTTAGGCTTTCCTCATAGATAAAATTCTCCACATGCCACATTCCAGAGATGAACTGATCCCATTTTAGTGATCTGCTGCTGTTTGCACAGGGCTCAGCTGCTCGCACGCCACGTTGGGATTATTGGTGCCTTTTAAAAAGCCTGTGGGTAAATGTCTGGCTATGCAGAAATTCTCCTCGGCTCCTAATTCACTGCAGCCTGAACCTCTCAGGAATCTGTAAGGGCTGCTTGGAAGCAATTCCAAAATCCTCCACTGAGCATGTCCAAGCAGCCCTGCATGACCTGGGAGGTGTCACCTTCTCTGTGACCCTTTCCTGGGCTCGTGGGTCACCTCCCCTTTCTTTTCCCCCTCCTGGTTCCAGCAGTGCTGCTCTTCCCTCCTGCAGCCCCAGGACCTCCATCAGGCCTGGTGGTGCCCTGGCATCTGCACAGACCTTGTCAAATTTAGGGGCAAAAAGTGCAAACAGCTTTTCTTTCTCACCCATCACCTCTTTTTCCACATGCATAATCATCTTCCTGCAAAGCAGAGAAACAAATGGATAAGGGAGTGGAGGTTTCATTTTTACAGAAAGCAATTACAGACATTAAAAGAGCTAAAGTAATAAAAATAATATTTAAAATTCAAATCCCTTATCTATATTACAAGGGTATTAACATGAGAAGAAGTTATTTTTATTTTTTTCTCCCCCCTAATCTCATTTGCTTTGCAGGTCAATCTGCAAACTTTAATGCCAGTCCTCTGAATTTTATTTTATTTTTTATTTGGAGACTGATCTGGAGGTGTGGGTTTGGCAGGTTTGTGAACTCCATGGCTCAGGGGTGAGGATGCTGCTTTGTGCCCTACCTGTGCTGCTTGCTTGTACCAGAAGGGACAGCTGTGCTCAGCAGGGAGGGGGGGAGGTTGTATTTTCTATAGATTAATATAATATTTATTGGTTTATGGCTCCAGGTTTTAATGTGTTAAATGAATAAAAATGGCAATTGGGCTGTGAGCACTTGGGGGAAGGAGCTGCTCCAGCCTGAAAGGGAAGGGAAAAATGGGGAAAGGGAAGGAAAATGGGGAAAGGGAGGGAAAAATGGGGAAAGGAAGGGAAAAATGGGGAAAGGGAAGGAAAAATGGGGAAAAGGAAGGGAAAAAATGGGGAAAGGGAGGGAAAAATGGGGAAAGAGAGGGAAAATGGAGAAAGGGAAGGAAAAATGGAGGAAGGGAGGGAAAAACGGAGAAAGGGGGGGAAGAATGGGGAAAGGGAAGGAAAAATGGAGAATGGGAAGGAAAATGGGGAGAATGCTCCAGAGCACAGAGTGGGCTGAACTTTGGGGTGAGTTGAGCAGGGCTGTGTGAAACCCCGGCAGGCAGACGTGGGGAGCTCCTGCTGTCCCACAGCCGTGTCCCAGAGAGGTGGCACATCCCCCCTGCAGGAGCCCCAGGTTTGCTGCTTTCCCAGGATTCTGACCTTTTCCCTTTCCTCCTCCCCAGAAAGCTGATCTGGCCGTGGCGGGGCTGACGATCACGGCGGAGCGGGAGAAGGTGATTGATTTCTCCAAGCCCTTCATGACTCTGGGAATTAGCATTCTCTACCGAGTTCACATGGTAAGAGCCTGATTTTAGAGCCGTTTATGCCCCTCCATTATTTGCATGCAAACCTGCCTGGTTAGAGGAGAATAATGAACGACTCATAAAAATATTTTGGTTTCTTATTTAAACGCAAATGTGCTCGACCTTTATTTCCTGCTTTTCGCTGTCTCTCTGCTGCGTGTCAGGATTGGTGAATTCCATTCCTATTCAACCCTCAGCCCTTTGGCTTCTCTCCCCACTCTTCCCAAAGCACATGATGGATTTTTTGGCATGGTGGGGGCTGCAGGATGGTTTTAGAGTGGCTTTAAGTGGCTTTAAGGCCACTGGGTGAGGTGTGCTGAGGGCAGGCTTGGCTGGAAGGGTGCAACAGCGTGGCTGGAATTGCAGAAATTTGGCTTGGAGTCACCATCCAGTTGGATTTAGTGGTAAAACTCTCCGAGAGGCTGAGCTGGGATATCTGTGGGTGCTCCTTGCTGGTGTTGGGGCCATTCTCGATCTCAGCTTTGCTCTCTTGCTGCCTTCTCCCACCTGAGAACCCCATCAGGAAGGAATCCTGGGTTGTTTCTTTGCTGTCACCTCCTGGAGATGCTCTAGAGGCAGATCAGCCTCTGCTCTCCAAATCCCAGGGGAAATGTCCCTCCTGGGGCAGGCAGGGGCCAGGCTGAGCTCACAGCCCTGGGCTCTGCCTCCTCATTTGTTCACCCTGAAGAGCAGCAGCCCCAGGAAAGCTCCTTAATCTCAGGGGGTCTCTCAGCAGAGTTGTAGCATCACAGGATCCTGGCATGGTTTGTTCAGAGTTCCTTCCATGCCACCTCTGCCATGGGCAGGGACACCTTCCCTATCCCAGGGTGCTCCATCCCTGTCCAGCCTGGCCTTGGACTCTTCCAGGAGTGGGGCAATTTTTTTTTTTTCTGTTTCAAAACAGGTGGGACTATTCCCAAGGGATTTGTGTGTGCAAGCATGTACGTGGTGTTGTGTGTTTGCTTAGCTAAACTTGTCCTAAACTCCCATAAATCCTCTTTTATTTGCTTCCTCCACTGTTTTACCTTCTCCCTGAAGCTCAGGAAGGGCCAGATCTCCCCCAGTCACTCCCAAATTCCAGGTGTCCCAGCAGGCAAGCTCCTTTTGCAGCCCCAATCTGCACTTGTGATGTGAGTGACAGTGCCTTGGTTTCTGTCAGCCCAACAATAGCAGCCAAAAGGAAAAAAATCCATTCAAGCTGCCTCTCCCAGCCCCCTCTCCACCCGGGAGGCTGTTAAGGATGCAGCGTTGGGGATGAACAGAAACAAATTCACGCCTCTATCTCTGTGCTGAGTGGCTCCTGCCAAGAGCAAACAAGTAATTAAAATCTAGTTAAAATTCTTCTTCCTCTGGTAAGTGCAGAATTTAGGATCAATGATTTAACTGATCACAAAGGAAAAAAAAAAATAAATAAAAAAGGTTGACTTTTACAACTCCTGGAAGTAAAATGGAATTGTCCCTTCCCCACCATGGCTGGGTTTTCACATCATCCTTGTGGAACCAGGACCTTTTCCTGCCAGTGTCTCCTAGGATTCAAATCAGATTTGGTGATTTAATACTCTGTTATATTAGGAAGGAATTCTTCCCTGTGAGGGTGGGGAGGCCCTGGAATAGATTTCCCAGAGAAGCTGTGGCTGCCCCATCCCTGGAAGCATCCAAGGCCAGGTTGGATGGAGCTCTGAGCAACCTGGGAGAGTCAAAATTGTCCCTGCCCATCAAAAAGGGTTGGAACAAGATGATCTTTATGATCCCTTCCAACCCAAACCATTCTGTGGATGTCCTGCACCAGAATCTCCAGCAATTCCCTGAGCAGCTCTCCTCCCTCCAGAGGAAAAGCAGGAATGTTGGTGCAGCCTTTGCTCAGGGTCTGCTCATTTGCTGCAGCCTCGGGGAGCTCTGCAGGATTTCTGACACTTGTTTGGGATGGAGGTTCCTCAGGGCAGGGAGCATCTGCTGCCACCAGAGGAGCACAGCCCCGCCCTGCTCCATGAGGCATTCACCAAACACAGCAGGATTCATAATCCCAGACTCCAGAGGGGCTTGGGAATCCTCCCCCTGCTCTCAGCAGGGCTTCAGCTGCTCCACGAAGGATCTGAGCTGCCCAGGCACCCAGGCAGGGTTGCAAAGACATCTCCCAGGTGGGGTCACCCCACTTTGGGCAGCCAAGCTCGTGCTCTCCCCAGAGCAGGGAAGCTCAGAGCCCTCCCTTCCCTCTCCAAGCCTTGGCACCTCTTCCTCCAGACCTTCCTGCTTGGCTTGAGGAGAGTGCCTGAGAGCTCTGTGGCAATTTAACTTCTGAAACTGGTAAATATTTCTTAAAGCAGCCACTTCTGGTTTTCCTTTAAGGATGTGGTTTGCTGAGCAGCCCCACAGTCTTCTTCTCCCCACCCCAAAAACCACCTCTGCAATGTCAAAAATTGCAGCTGACGTGTGTTAATCACGGCTCGGATGAGATGGAGCCTAATAAATAACCACAAATGAGCCTCTTCCTCGCTGAGGAGTTCTCTCCACACCCTGGGCTCCTTCAAATGTGATGACATTTTATTTTCATTTCCATGTAGCTCCAGTGGCAAGTGATTTCTCACCCCTTTCTCCTCCCCACGCCGCCAACCCAGCCACCACAGAGCCTGTGCCTCTTATCACACATAACCAAATATGGCAGCTTTAACCAGGGCTGTCATTTTTCTCAATTTCACTGCTTGTGATACAATCAAGGCTGGATTTCTGACACTGGAGCTCTAACAGGCTTCCTGACTCGCAGGCTGCTGAGAGGAAAGGCTTGGTTGGTTCCATTAGGTGCCCATCCTGCCCAGCCAGGGGGATGGCAGGAGGTGGCTGGGGAGCCCTGAGCAGTCCCTGGGTTTGGCAGGGGGCTGGAATCAGCTGCCCAGGGTCATTTTCTGCATGGAGGGATAAATCAGGAGTATTTGTGTCTTACCCATCTTTGCTCACATCTGCCTCTGTGGCAGGGAACGAGGGGCTAGAGGTGATTCTGCCTGCTCAGCCCTGAGAGTTCTTGCCTTCAAAATGAGGAAATGGATGTTGGGAGAGTGCACAGCCACAGCTGAGTTAAGGCCAAGTGAGCTGAGCCTTAAAGTGTTTTGACTTGATTGCTGCAGAGGACACAAGATGGGAAGGATGGATGGAAAAACTCCTTCATTCCAGCCAGAGGAGGCTTGAGAGGGGCTGAGAGGAGCTGAGCCCCATCCTGACAGCTCTGCCAGCAGGATTCCTCCCCACCAGAGCAGCGTGGGGGCAACTGCTGGCCCCAAGAATGTATTTGGTGATTGTGAACCATGTGGCCACTCCAAATGAGGCTCGAGATTCAGAGCAGCCTGTGCAGGGCTTTTACTGACCCAGAGGAAAAGGAGGGACCTGGATCTGCCCCTGGAGCAGGTGTGGTTGTCTGGGATGTGCCCTGGTTCCGTGCCCTGCGGCTGGACCGAGCACACATCAACGTTTCTTCCTCCCCAGGATGAGTTTTCTTGTTTTCCCTATGACTTCCAGAGGCAGGAGAGAGTTCTCTGCCCTCCTTTTTTAGGGGAAACACTTGTGAGAAATGGCATGGATGGGGCTGAGTGGGGTTCCTCCAGACTCTGCATGTGCAGGGCAGGGAGTGCTGAAAACAACAAATCCAGGGCTGTCCTCTCCTTCCCAAATGTCCCCCTTGTCCAAGCTCTCCAGTCACCAGTATCTTCCCAGCAAACTGCTTGCTCACTGGCTGAAAAAAATTAAGATTTCCAAGAACAATTTAGGAGGAGGGTAAATTAATCTCTCCCACATCCATCTGAGGATTTGCAGGAGGCCTTCATCAATTATTGGACATTTTGAACATATCTATTCCAGGAAAAATAGCTCTTCCAATTAACAAAGCTCTATTGGGACTGCCTAAAAATATCTGACAGACTCCAGATATTGTCATTCCCATCTTCAAAACAGACAGATAAGAGAGAGTTTGTGCCCTCCGTGGGAACAGAATATCTTTATTCTTACCCACAACTGTGAATGAAAAGAATATGTCCCAGCAGCCTGGAAATGACTGGAGCTGAAAAGAACCAGAACTACTACAACTGTAAAGTCACAGGAGAGATTCACTGCCAAGCTGGAGATTTAAAGCTTCCAACGCAATTTCCTTAATGAGAGTAATTTATTGACAAACTGCCCCAGAAATATAAAGAAGACATCAAGGCCTTAATTGCAGAAAGGAACTTTGTCACGGGAGCATCTCGCACGGGGAGGCTCAGCCAAGGCTCTGCCAGGGCCTGTGAGCTCCCTGCCAGCTCTGGGGTGCCAGGGAGGATCATTCCCTGCCCTGCCTGGGATGAGGAGCTCCAGGAGCTGCAGCTCGCTCAGCAGCCCGTGCCCTTCACACCTCGCTGGTTCCCTCACTGCATCCTTGAGGAGGAATGAAGAGTTACTGAGCTGGTTGGGCTGCTGAGGAAGAGGGGAGCCAGGGTTTGAGGGGCATCCAGGAGAGGCATGAAGGGGAGAGCTCTGCCAGTGCCCCCCTTTGGCAGTGCCACTCTTTGGCAGTGCCACCCTTTGGTACTGTCACCCTTTGGTACTGTCACCCTTTGGTACTGTCACCCTTTGGCAGTGCCCCCCTTTGGCAGTGCCCCCCTTTGGCAGTGCCACCCTTTGGGAGTGTCACCCTTTGGCAGTGCCCCCCTTTGGCAGTGCCACCCTTTGGCAGTGCCACCCTTTGGCAGTGCCACCCTTTGGCGTGGATCCCCTGGATGGGATCAGTGGGAAGGGCAGAGGGAACACCCCGTGGCACCTGCAGGGCTGGGAGGTGCCCTGCCCTCTCTGGATTAGGGAGAGGAGCTCCAGCAGGGTGAGCAAAGGCTTCTCCTGCAAATGGAATGCAGCTTCCTGCAGATTCTGTGGCTCTGAAAACCAGAACACAGCAGGAGCTGACCAAAAAATTGGGAAAGGACACAAAAAATGTGGTGTCTTCCAATGTTTGTACTTCACCTGTTGATAGGAGATAACCTGGAACAGAAGGGAGACATTGCCTAGAGGAGAGACTCTGGAATTAAACCCAGGAGGACCTGAACTTTTCCTTGGGAATTGGCTGGAAGTTAATCTGAGAACCTGAACTTTTCCTTGGGAATTGGCTGGAAGTTAATCTGAGAACCTGAACTTTTCCTTGGGAATTGGCTGGACGTTAATCTGAGAATGGGTGCTGAACCACTGGTCCTGAACTCACCCATTTGCTAAAAGCCTTACCAAGCCAGATTCTCTAAAAATGCTCATCCCAGATTGGTTTGTCTTGGAAGGGACCTCAGAAACCCTTTAGTTCCAGCCCCCCACCACGTGCAGGGACAGCGCAGATCCAAAAATCTCGTCCTGAAGGATCCAGGGACAGGTTGTTGTGGTGTGCTGGGTTTTTCCTGCATGCAGGGTTCGCTGGGGAAGGTTCCTGACACGTTACAGGTTCCCAGATGGTGACTGGAGCTGAGGATTTCACAGGCTCCTGGATATTTTTAGCAGAGGAAGATTTTTGTGCAAACAACTGTTGCCTTTTCTAGCAACAGCTCAAGCCTCCAGGAGAACTGCTGAGACCTTGTGAAATTCAGGGTCTGCATAACATTTAGTAGTAAAACAGCGAGGTTTGGATGGAAGTGGAATTTAAAATGCTGGTCTAAGTCTGGGGAAAGGGGAAAAAAAAAAAAAAAAGCCTTTGCAAAGCTCTGCCTCGTGGGAAGCTTCCCAGTTACAGGTGCTTGGGGAAGCTGTGGAGCTGTTTTAGGGATGCCAGGACTGAATTTGTGGTTTGGGACAGAAAATACAGGTTTCTGTGAGCTGTGGGATCATGTCCCTTGTGCCTTGGGTGTGCTTGAGCTGCTCCTGCCTTTCAGAGGAGCTCCATCCTCAGAGGTGGTGCTGACAGGAGAAATCCACCTAAAATGGGAGGTGTTTGGCTTTTGAGAAACTTCTCCAAAAAATTATTCTCCCGCTTTTGCACAAATTTGGTGACATTTGACAATTTTCTGGTGGTGGCAGCATCCTTGTGAAAGTTTAAAATGCTCTGGGAGAAGATCAGCCTGCTTTTTCTAGCAGTGAAGCCTTATTTTTTTTTTCAAGGAAAGGTGGAAAAAACAGGAAATTCTGACGCATCCTGGAGATAAAAATATCCTGTTCCCTGAGATAAAAGTAATAATTTTATTGGGGTTTTTGTAAAAGAAGAAACTTCGCAAGGCCAGAGAGAGAAAAGTTTTGAAAATATATATATATATATTTTTTTTTTCCTTTTGCTTCACAAATATATTTCCCTGTGAGCTCAGGTGGAGCCCCTTCTGCCCAGTTAAGTGTGGGGTGGACAAGGATGGGGGACCCCCCTCAGGGCTGGGGGTGCAGCAAACCCTGCCAGGAAGGGACAGAATGCTGTAATTGCCTCATTTTTCTCTCAATTCACCTCTTTCTTGGCCTGGAGGAACAAAAAAGGGGAGAAAAAGAGATTCAGGGGATGAATCCAGTGGGGAGGTGCTGCAGGACTCAGTCATTTGTGGGGTTGCTGTCACTTGTTTGCCCTGCAAGGCTGTTCCAAAGCCTGGTTTATCCCCCTTCTCCTGTTTATTTCCCTTCTCCTGTTTATTCCCCTTTCTCCCATTTATTCCCCTTCTCCTTTTTTTTTTTTTTCCTTTATTCCCCTTCTCCTTTTTTCGCCTCTTTTTCCCCCCATTTATTTCCCTTCTCCCGTTTATCCTCTTTGCCCCATTTATTCCCTTTCTCTCATTTATCCCCCTCCTCCCATTTCTCCCCTTCCCATTTTAATTCCATTTTCTCCCATTTATTTCCCTTCTCCCATTTACCCTTTTTGCCCATTTATCCCCTTTCTCCCATTTATTCCCTTCCTCCCACTTATCCCCCCTCTTCCTTTTATCCCCTTCCCCTTTTTATTCCCCCTTCTCACATTTATCCCCCTGTCTCCCATTTATCCCCTTTCTACTGTTTTTCCCTCTTCTCCCATTAATCCCCTTTGCCCCATTTCTCCCATTTCTTCCCCTTCTCCCATTTATTTCCCTTTCTCCTATTTATTCCCCTTTCTCCCATTTATTTCTCTTTCTCCTACTTATTCCCCTTCTTGTGTTTATCCCCTTGGCCCCATTTTGCCCCTTTCTCCCATTTCTTCCCTTTCTCCCACTTATCCCCCTTTCTCCCATTTTCCCCTCTTCGCCCATTTGTCCCCATTCCCCTTTTTATTCCCATTTTTCCCATTTATCCCCCTTCTACCGTTTATCCCCTTTCTTCCATTTATCCTCTTTGCCCCATTTCTCCCATTTCTCCCCCCCTCCCATTTATTCTCCTTTTTCCCATTTATCCCCTTTGCCCCATTTCTCCCCCTTCTCCCATTTATTTCCTTTCTCCTATTTCTCCCCTCTCTCCCATTTATCCCCTTCTCCCATTTATCCCCATTCCCCTTTTTATTCCCATTTTTCCCATGTATCCCCCTCTTTCCCATTTATCCCCCTTCTACCGTTTATCCCCTTTCTTCCATTTATCCTCTTTGCCCCATTTCTCCCATTTCTCCCCCCTCTCCCATTTATCCCCTTCCCCCGTTTATCCCCATTCCCCTTTCTATTCCCATTTCTCCCACTTATCCCCTTTCCCCCATTTCCCTCCTGCAGTGCCACCGGTGCAGGTAATTTCCCTCGTGCCCTTCCAGGACTATTTCCACCTCTCCAAACCCACCCGGCTCCAACTCCTCCTTTGCTTTTTCCCTCCCCAGGGCCGCAGACCCGGCTACTTCTCCTTCCTGGACCCCTTTTCTCCGGGCGTCTGGCTCTTCATGCTGCTCGCCTACCTGGCTGTCAGCTGTGTCCTCTTCCTGGTGGCTCGGTAATGTCGCGGTGCCTTTCCCTTCCTCGCGGTGCCACCTAGTGTCACTGCAGACCCGGCGAGAGGGGACTCCCAGGGGGACGCGGGGACATCCATCCTCTGCCCCCCAGCTGGCCGGGATGGGCTGGCAAAGGTCCCAGCCCTGTGCCAGCTGGGGACTGAGGTTTGTCACCGTGTCCCCGCGCTGGGCTGGCCATCGTGTCCTGGTTCAGGATGTGTTTGGCCACGGTGGTGCCCAGAGCTGGGTGGGAGATTTTGGAGAAGGTTTTGGTGCTGTTAAAACGCTCCCTCTGATGTTTTTGTCCCAAGCAGGGAGGGTGGGGGCTGCTAGGAACCTGCAAATCCATTCTGAGGTGTCAGAATTCCACCAGCGCTGTCTGGCTCCCCAGTTTGTGGAGGACAGGGAAGCTCATGACTATCTTTGAGCAGAAGTGCAGAGCCTGGCTGGGCAGCTCTCAGCTCCATTCCCCTGTGACCGATTTCAGTCAGCCTCAAAACACCTCGCTGTGTGCTCGCCTCAGCACAGCCCCTGGGCTCCAGGGCTGCTCTCCCTGCTGCCCACAGCCCTGTGCAGGGGCTGTCACAGGCACAGTGGAGCTGTGTCCCGTCTCCAGGGCTCCATGGCTCTTTGGGGACCCCTCAGTGCACAAATTGGGGCTGTGCTGTCACCGGCTCCCTCAGCATGGCTGAAGCTGTCATCCTGGCAGGGCTTTAATGTGTTCTTCGAGTGCTGTTACAGCCTCAGAAATGCAGGTCTGGAGAAACCATTGAATTATGCACAGCTGGTGCCTCTTTAGCCCCTTCCTCATGTTTTAAATATGATCCTCCAAAAAGGCGCCTTTACCCAGCTCCCCTCTGGAGAGGGAGCTTTGGCTGCTGCTCCCTGCCTTGCTCAGCAGGAAGGAGCTCTTGACCCTGTGAGCTGCAGACTCTCCCAGAGCACTGGGGTTTGCTGCCAGTGCTTGATGCACCATGGAAGGTCTGCAGGAAATAACCTCCTCCTCCTCCTTGGCACCACAGAAGGAGAGGAGGTGCAGGGATGAAAAGAACCCCCTCATTTTGGCTAAATAAGATGTGAGCTGGCACAGCCCTGCAGCTGTGCTGGCAATAGCCCCAAAATGACCCTCCCAGGCCTCAGCTTTCTTAGCTAGAGCAGTATGAAGTGCAGCACATGAATTAGCAGACTTTCTTAGCAACCAGGGAACTGGAAATAGCAGAAGAGAGAGAGAGAGCTGCAGTCACAACAGTGACAGGCTCAGACATTTCCCATCTCCATCTCTGTCCTGTCCCTGAAGGATGGGATGCTTTGAAACACCAGCACTCAGCTTCCAGCTCCACCTCAGACCTTCTCAGAACAACCCTTTGCACCAACAGAGTTTTTCTTGATGGTTTAATGCAGTCAGGGCTCAAACACTTTGCTTTTGAACCTCCCATCAGTGCTCGTGCTCCAGCAGGGAGCACAGCCAAAGATGTTTGATTTCTACTTCCCATCAAGTCCATGCACATCTGGAGTTCCTGCTGTGGTGTGAATCTGCACTCAGGGCTGCAGGATGCACGCAGAGCTGCCCAGAGCAGAGCCTCTCAAAGTTTTTGCAAATCTTTACAAGAAAGCCTCTGGCTCCTGAGTCTTAGAGCAAACGTTTCACACAGCTCTGAGCCCTGGGCATCAACTGACAGCAAAGCATTTCCTCCTCAGAAAACTCTGCCTCCAGGACAGCTGAGCTTCAAGCTTTTCTCTCTCTTTTTTTTTTTGTTTGTTTGGGTTTTTTTTTTTTTTTTTTTTTTTTGTTTGGTTTTTTTTTTTTTTTTTTTTTTGTTTGGTTTTTTTTTTAAAGTGTCCCACTTCCTAGCGCATTCCCTGAGCTCTCCTTTTCTTGTCCTTTCAGGCTGACACCATATGAGTGGTACAGCCCCCACCCCTGCTCCCAAGGTCGATGCAACCTCCTGGTGAACCAGTACTCCCTGGGGAACTCGCTGTGGTTCCCAGTGGGGGGGTTCATGCAGCAGGGCTCCACCATTGCCCCCCAGGCTCTGTCCACGCGCTGCGTCAGCGGAGTCTGGTAAGGGGGGCAGCCCTTCCTTTCAGGAAGGTTTCTCTGGGCAGAGGTGGGTGTGGAGGAGGGATTTCCTCATGGAAAGGGCTGTGGGACTTTGGGAGGGGCTGCCCAGGTGGAGGTGTTCAAGGATGACTGGATGTGGCACGCACTTGTCTGCGTGACAAGGTGATGGTTTTGGAGGGAGTTTGCAACCTCAGCGATTCTGCGATTCTGTGATGGACACGCAGATTTCCTGAGGGAAACCACACCTTCCCTTCCCTCCCCCTAGGTGGGCATTCACCTTGATCATCATCTCCTCCTACACGGCCAACCTGGCAGCCTTCCTGACCGTGCAGAGGATGGACGTCCCCATCGAGTCCGTGGATGACCTTGCTGACCAGACAACCATCGAGTACGGCACCATCCACGGCGGCTCCAGCATGACTTTCTTCCAAGTAAACCCCATTTTTTTGGCTGGCTGGGGGGCAGGGGGTGCACAGGGCACCCCTCAATCAGATTGGGGTGTCCCCTCAGCCTGCTGTGCCCGTGTCACTCCAGTTGCTGGCAGGAAGGGGAACCTCTGGAGAGATCACTGCACAGGATGAATGGTGGGAGAGGCATGGTGGAGGACACAGAAAGGCAATTCGACAAGGAGTTCAAATTTTCACGGGTCTCTGCATGGTTTTAGCTTTTATTTGAGAGTCTTTCAGGTGGGATAAGAAAAGAAACATTTGCACAGCCCAGGCAGGCTCACAGAAGTCAAAGTGCTGGAGCCTGTGTGAGGTCAGTGGCACTGAAATAAGTCAAATGTATGTAAAGTTATGTGGGCCATTTAGCCCAATTTAATTTTTATCTTCCCTGCTCTGCTCAGAAGGGAAATAAATGAGTGAATATTTTCTGCAGCGCTCTGAACACACAAAGAACTGCTTGAGGATTGTTTATTTATTTATTGCTTGTTGAAATTCCAAAAGGAGAGAAAGCTTGTTCTCACTCTTTCCCTCCACTCTGAGTCTGAACTGAATTTGGAAGGCTGGGAAATCTCTGGAGTCAGCCTGAGCTTTTGAGCCCAACTTTATGCTCTTCAGCAGTATGGAAAAGAGCTACTTTTAAGCCAAACTTTACATCTAAAATGAGCTGAGCAGGGCCTAAGTGAGGGAGGTGGTTGTATATGTGCGGCTCACTTGAGGAAAGCTTTCAAGTTTAAACCCCTGACTGTCTCTGCGCTGCCTGGCAGTGAGGAAATCAGAGAGGAAATTAGGAAAAGAAGGTTTTGTCCCATTTGTGGTGCTTTAAGCTGTGTTGGGATCCATTTGCCTCTGGTGTAAGGATGGGGAGGCTAAAGTAGTGATGGATAACTGCCTCCATCCCCCCTCCCTTCCTGGGTGCACGAAGGAATGTTTGTCCCCTCCTGAGGCACCTTGTCCTGGCAGTGCTTCCCCTGACACTGACACACACAGTTTAAGGTCTAAAAATGCAGTGAAACAGAACCAAACCCCCCCTGCTCATCTGTCTCCTGCCCAAGTGGCTGCACCCAGAGGACAGAGCTGGACAGATGAGGACAGGAACTGGGTCAGCAGCAGATTCCCTGAGGCTCTCCAGCACTGCTCACCAGCCACAGAAAACGAGCCCTTGACAGTATGAAAATCCTCGTGTAGAGCAGGGTGTGTTTATATTCAGTCTTTGTGCAAGCAGGTTTCACTCTCTGCTCAGCACAGGCAAGAGAGATTCATCATTCTCAGCTTTCTTTTCATCGGACCAAGGTGGTTCAGCCAGCAGCCAGCTCTGAGGATTTGGGGCTGGCTGAGCTTTGGTTTATTGTAATCAATGACAAAAAAAACCCAGTTCTTTTCAGCAAGCACTTTAACTTGCCTCACAGAGGGGTGAACCAAATCTGGATTATTTTTTGAATTAAATTTGTGAGCAACAATCTCCAGAGAGCTTTTGTGCTGCCCCCAGCCTTCAGTGCCCTCCTCAGGGTGCTGGAGTCTGGCTCTGACACTGAAGAACTGTTGGGACAACGTTTGAGGGATTGTCAGTATGGTGTGAGCGCCCGGAGGTTTCAATCAACCAAGCAGGAGCTATTTCAGGCATTTTTTGTGTGTTCTTGATATGTGGTCACTGAAATCTATGATTTTTTTTCTAAAATTGAATTTACACAAAGAGTTTTGCCAGACCCCGTTGGAATTGGGGCATTTCATGCCCAGCTTTTCCAACAAACTCCCAACACATTTGGGCCTCTTTGACATAAACAAAGATGAGGCATCAAAATCCTTGCTGAATCTGAAACCAGATTTGATTCCCCTCTCCATTGTGGCTTTTCTGCAACAGTGCCTGATATGGGGGTTTAATTTTAGGGGTCTGTTCTGGTTTGAAAGCAAAACCAGTGAGAGACTCCGAAGTCAGAAATACAGTTTTTTAGGAAAAGGAAAAATAAAACCAAAATAGATGCAACAATACAAAAGAAAAGAACACTGACAAAATCAGAATACAATCTGACACCCTGTTGGTCAGGGTGTTGGTAGCAGTCTGGTTGGATTGGTGGCTGTCAGTCCTCTGCCAGTCCTCCTGGACTGCAGATGTGGTTCTGTTGGAGCAGTGATCCTGTAGAAAGGGTGTAGTCTTCTTCTGAAGATTCAGTGGAAAAGACAGCCATTCCTCTGGGAATCCAGTGGAAAAACTGCTCTGTCCCAAACCCCAGATTATATCCAGGTGGGGATGCTTAGCTCCTCCCTCCTGGGTGGAGCATCTCACAGTGGGCTGTTCCCATTTTGTGAGTCATGTGGTGGCTCCGTTAAACAGAAATGGCTCCTGGAGGGAATTATCTCTGAGTCATTGGCAAGGCATTGATGGGCCCATTAACAGGAGATAAGGAAGAAACAACGCCCCTCCTGGTTTCAGCACCTCTTGACGATGGGAATAGAATATATCTTAATATTGTCACCTAGGACAGGATCTAATTTACCCCACATCTCCTCCCTGAGCTGTGTCTGCCTCCTTCCCCCCCGCAGAACTCCCGCTACCAGACGTACCAGCGGATGTGGAATTACATGTACTCCAAGCAGCCCAGCGTCTTCGTGAAGAGCACGGAGGAAGGGATCGCGCGCGTGCTGAACTCCAACTACGCCTTCCTGCTGGAGTCCACCATGAACGAGTATTATCGGCAGCGCAATTGCAACCTCACGCAGGTCGGGGGCCTTCTGGACACCAAGGGCTACGGGATTGGCATGCCCGTCGGTAGGCAGTGAAGAACAATTCTAGTCCTTCTCGGCTGTCGGCAGAGGACCGGAGCGTTCCAAAGGCTGCGCCGGCTCTAAAAGCCAACGTTGCATCTCACAGGGTCCTTTTAATTTCTTACCTGTTGCCCGTGCTCAGAGCCAGATGTGCAAGACCCTGCTCTGGTCCAGAGCCAGATGTGAGACCCTGCTCTGGTCCAGAGCCATGTGAGACGCGACCGCGGCTCTTTCAATGATTCATGTGAAAGATGTCTCAAAATTGCTGCTTGTTTTCTGCATACTTGCTCTTTGCTGTTTCCTTCCCCAACCAGTGTTTGTGCATCGTTTTGTGCTCCTTGTTTTAATCCCAGAAGTGATGTCAAAGTAATGCTGTGGTAATTCTGGTAGTTTTTAGCAGGAATGTCTTAACAGCTGGTGGTTTTTGAAACTGCAGGCCAGAGAGCTGGGTGATTCAGGGGCTCTCATCAGGTTTAACAAATGCAGGGGTTTTGTCTTTCAAATGTACGAGCTCACAAGAGAACATCACCACTAAATAAGGGTTTAGTTGTTGTTCCAAATGATCCGCTGGTCTTTTGGACAGCCTGGAAGCCTTGTCCTGACCTTTAAGCCCTGGCATTTAGCAACACAAAGTTGAGGTGGATTACATAAGGCCCCCGTCACACAAACAGCCACTCTAGTTTAGGGAACATGGGTAAGCTTGTAAAGTCACAGCAACCTGATCAAAGTGAGTACAAATCCCTACCTTCAGGGCTAAATTTGTTCTGACATTGTCTTGTTAAACAGTGAAACCGTAGCAGATAAGAGGAGCAGAAAGCTGCAGGCTGGGACAATAGTGCAGAGTTACTGGGAGAAGCAGAGTCTTTCCCATGGCCCTTCCTCAGGATCTCTGGTGGCAGACAAGGATTTCTTGTACGAGACAAGGATCTCTGGTGGCAGACAAGGATCTCTGGTAGCAGACACTGGGACTGCAGCGGAGCTCTGTGCCCAGCACAGGACTGAGCTCCTCCAACATGGACATTTTGGCTTCCATGATCCTTGGGCTCCTTCCAACTCAGTATTTCTATTCTGTGACCAGTTTGAGGGAAGGAGCATTAGAACAAGGTTGAACTGGAATTGGAACAAGAGAGGGACCTCCATGGTCTGCAGGAGCAGGATACCGAACTGCTCATTCAAAAGCCAAAGCTCTCCTTGCCATGGACCTGCTCCAGAGAGCCCTGTGTGGCTGCTGGTGGCCAGGTAATGTCACCTTCTGCAAGTGACATTAACCAGGTGACATTCCCAGTGGGGTGGCTGCAGCTTTCCATGGCTTGCATGGACTGACAGCCCCTCCAAGCCACCCAGAGAGGAGCTGTGCTAGCTGGGCACACTGGGGTGGGGCGAGTGGCGAGGATGATGATGGGGAGGAAGGTGGGGCCCTACCACGTCCCTCTCGGCGTTGCAGGCTCCGTGTTCCGCGACGAGTTCGACCTGGCCATCCTCCAGCTGCAGGAGAACAACCGCCTGGAAATCCTGAAGCGCAAGTGGTGGGAAGGAGGGAAGTGCCCCAAAGAGGAGGACCACAGAGCCAAAGGTAAGCCCTGCACTCCCAAGGGACCAGGCACAGAAACATCCTGGCCAGAGGTGCGAGGATGAACACCCAGCTGCATGTCTGCCAGGTTTTCTGCCTGGGAATCACTTTTTCCCCTTCTCCTGACCTGAGATTCCTTCCTTCACAACTCAAGGAGAAAGCCAAACAGCTCCGCTGTGCCTCACGCTGTGTGTTTTTGCCTGGGGCAGAGATAGCGGGAACAACCAAATGACAAATATTGGAGGCATATGGAGGGTAAATTAGCTTCTAATGAATGTCTGGGAAAATGGATGGCTGAAGGGATCAGACCAAAATCCTGGGTTCCTTGAAGGGAGATGGATCTCCACCACAGGCCCGCTGGTTAATGGCTCCAAGTGAAAGCGTCTTTTAAACAGCCAGAGAAGGGACACAAGGACTTTATTAGTACATTTGTAAACTGAGGAGCAAATTCTTTTGGGTAATGCAATGCAAATTGCCATAAAAGCCACCACATTAGGCTGATGTCCCAGCATGAAAGCAGTTGCCAGCCTAACACAGTTGCTGCATTTTTTAGTTTTGGCAGCAGCCCTTTCCTCAGCAAGTGTTTTCTGCGAGGGCAGCAGGCCTCCCAGTTAAAAGCACAGCCTTGTGACCTTTGTGGGAGCAGAGAAAAGAGCCAAGCCAGGGCTGGGAAAGCTCTTTTGGAGTTTTGACCTTGCAGCAGGTGTAGGTGTGTGTGTGTCTGTGCCGTTCCTGCTGGCACCCCATGGGGCTGGGAGGTGATGTTCACTTTTGGGCAGTGCTGCTCTACAGACAACCCCAGTTATTTATCTTCAGGCTGAAGGTGTAAGACATCAGGTTATTGCTATTAAATGAGTTACTTTTGAAGGTGGAAGGGTTTTTTTTTCCCTCGGACTGTGCCAAAAGCAACTCTAAGGTGGAATCTGTTTTGAGGTGGCTTTGGAAGGGGGAAGCTGGGCTGTTTCTGGCACTACCCAGCACAATCTCTGACCCTGGGTAAGTTTTTCTGCTGTTCCTGTTTTGTTCCCTATGCCGTGGCTCACTTCTTCAGTTTAGGAGATGAGGAAGGCTGTAGCTGTATGGAGAAAGGAAATATCTCTCAGTGAGCTTGGGTTCTGAGGTGGCACCCAGACAGAATGATAGGAGGATGTGTACAGAGAGATGCAAACTCTAAATTCACACTTGTGAGCTGCTGGGGGGAGTGGATGACCTTTACATTTGGGTCTGAATTGTGATTCTGGGCTGTTTTATCTGCCTTGCCGTTGCTGTGGAACCACCTCTGCAAAAGTCTCTGATTTACAGACTCCCTGCATTGCTCTGGGGGTGGTGCCAAAAGAATGACGGAGGAGGAGGCAGAAATGTGACCTGCTAAGTTTTAGAACAAAACAGGTCAGCGATTTACAAGGATTTTGGTGAGGTTTTATGTCCAAAAGCCACGCCGAGATCAAGTCAATAAATCATCTATTCTTACACTTTGATTTAATGCTCCAGGAGGGAGAGGAAGATTTTTATAGATGTTCTTGTTGAGTAATGGCCTCACACAGCCAACCCAGGGCAGAGCACATGTTTTTTAGTAATCAATCCAATCAGGGACCCAAACCAAACGCACGAGACAGGAACCACATCCCAGGAGAGCAAATGTTGGGGTCGGCTCATCTCCCACGCAGATGGAGGCACAGCTTTGGGGACCAGGGCTGTGGTGGCAAGTGAAGTGATGGCCTCAGCACATGGAAAGCTCATGTTTTTAAGGGATGGATTTTCCTTCAGCTGGTGGAACTTTCTGGAATGCAGGGTGGGTAGGCATGGTGGTCATCCCATAGGAGGTGAGTTGTGGGAGCACGTGGGATGAGCTGTCCACGGAAGGGGCTGTTCCCTCCTCATGGGCCAGGGGTGCTGGGCAGAGACACCCAACGCACAGCCAGGTCCCCCAGGGTGGCAGGGACCCCATTTTGTCACCCTGTAGTGACACAGCATCCTGCTCTTGTTTGGAGCCTCTCCTTTCCCACTGCAGTCCGAGCAGCCGGAGTCATTTTCCTGCAGCACTTTGTGATGCAATCAAAGGAGCTTTTCCTGGTTCCAGCTTCCTTTAAAGCCCTTCCCTGTCCCCTTTATCTCTGCTCCTTTAACAACCTTGCTCCTCTTCCTTTTCAAGTTCAAAGCCACTGGAGCTTGGTGAATAATTTGCAGGGATTAATGCGCCCCTTTGATCCTGCGTTTTTCCCATCCTGTTTTCAGTTTTTCCACAAATTGCTTTGTGCTTCCCCTCCAACGTTTCTGGCTGTTTATCTGCAAAATCATCATTTCTGAGCAGGCATCTTCGATCCTGCAGTCATTGCAAGTCACTCACTTGGGCCATCTGAGTCATGCAGGGAGCTATTAATAGGACACTGCTGGCTTGGTGCTTTTGGTCCCTGGCTGGGCATCTACAATGCCAACAAAACAGCAAAGCCTGGGGGTTCTGTGCAGTGATACTTGAGGTTTATGACGTGTCTGCCTCTCCAGAGTGTCTCTCCTGCTTTATTTTAGGCTTGGGGATGGAGAACATTGGTGGAATCTTCGTGGTGCTCATCTGTGGCTTAATCGTAGCAATTTTTATGGCAATGCTGGAATTTTTGTGGAGCCTTCGACACTCTGAACAGTCAGAGGTAGGACCTGGGAGTGTCCTGAGGGGACAGGGTGTGTTTATTGCTGTCTGCGGGCTGTCCTAGAGCAAGTCACGCACCCAGGCTGAGGAGCAATCCCAGCCAGGACAGCTCAAAGCCAGGAACAGGCTTGGTCCTTTGGGCAGGGTCTAAAATCCATGAGCTTCTCATGCACTCCTACTCAGAGCGAGGCTGTAGAGAGGCTCCAAGGGCTTTCAAAGGGATCAAAGATGTGTACAACATCCAGGTACCTTTCCTGGGGATGGGATTTCCACCTGCAGCAGTTTTGGATCTTGTGCTGATCTGGGGATGAAGAACACATTGGGGGTCTCTGATGAGAGGCAGAATTGGGTTAAATCAAGTGGAGATTCTGAGCATTGATGTTGAAAACCAGCAGCACTGAGTCCATAAAAATTTGGTGTCAGAATCACATCATGGAATCTTAAAAAAACAGCCTGGGTTGGAAGGTACCTTAAAGCTCATCCAGTTCCATCCCCTGCCCTGGTCAGGGACACCTACCACCATCCCAGGTCACTCCAAGCCCTCATCACTCCAGGACCCAGAGCCCCTGAGGGACTCAGAGCTCGCCCAGGTGAGCAGGACAGCTCCATTCTCCCCCGCAGGTGTCGGTGTGCCAAGAGATGGTGACGGAGCTGCGCAACATCATCCTGTGCAAGGACAGTTTCCACCCCCGTCGGAGGCGAGGGGGGGTGGTACGGACTCGCCCCGCTCTGCCCGAGGAGCGCCGAGCCCGCAGCACAACCACGCTCAGCAACGGCAAGCTGTGCAGCGGGGGCGAGCCAGACCCCCTGGCACAAAGACTGGCACAAGAGGCCGCCCTGGTTGCCCGGGGCTGCACCCACATCCGCGTGTGCCCCGAGTGCCGCCGCTTCCAGGGGCTCCGGGCGCGGCCGGCCGCGGGGTCACCGGCGCGGAGCGAGGAGAGCCTGGAGTGGGACAAGGCCACCAACAGCAGCGGGCCCGAGTAGCGCCGGGCCCGGCGGGCGTCGGGGTGGGACGAGAGGGTCCTGTTCCATTTTACAGAACACGGACTTGTACAATGTCAACTCGTTTTTAAATCAATAGCAGTTACCCGGCTTCCCCAGAGCAAGGTGCACCTCGGCGCGGACGCTGAGGCCTGGCTGCGGTTTCGGTGTCCGCTGCGGCCTGGCGTGGCAGGAGGGAGGTCCTCAGGCTGGTGGAGGTCCAGAGGTTGTCTCTGGGAAGGAGGGACGTGGTGGGTGGCTGGTGGAGCAGGTATTGCCCACCCAGGGGCAAGGAGGGCTTCCTGGAACTTCTCACCCCTCCAAGGTCAGGAGAAAGGACAGTGGCGCTGCCTCTCCATCACTTACTGGGGGATGTTCTCCAAGGGCAAGGGGGGACTTTTTATTTGCCGTGGCTGTGGGAAGGGAGGAGTCATTATTTTGGGGTTTTTTTTGTTTAATTTGGGTATGTCAGGGCCCAGTCTCCAAGGCACCAGGTGCTGAATTCTTCTTCCTTTTCCAAGGGTGGCAGGTGGGTTGAAGGGGGAAGGGGAGGATGGGATGGGACACGCTCCCTGTGAGAAGCAGCATTTGCTGGAAGTCCATCTGAGGAGTTGTTGAAATTACATATATAAAGAAATATATCTATACATAGATATATATATATACACATATATTAAAATGCCAAAAAACAGCCAACGAACACAATGAACTCAAAGAGGCCTTGAAACGCCTGGAATTTCAGGGGTTCTGTGTCTTTTGTTTCATTCTGGGGTTATCTTTTGCTTTTTTTTCCTTTTCCTTTCTATTCTTGGGATGGAGTGGGGGGGAGCCTTTTGAGGGAGGTGAGGGGGGAGCACTGGGGGAGGCTTCCCATCCCCACCAGCCGAGGAGGAGGTGTTGGGACCCCCAGAGTGCCCCTGGCTGTGCTCTGCACGCTCCTGAAGTGACTCTGAGCTCTACCCCAGGCTCAGGAGCTCCCCAAATCCGTGACCCCACGGAGCACCCTCAACTTCCAGGGTGAATTCCAGCCACACAGCATTTGAGAAAATCATTAGCCCGGGATCTCGTGTAAGGAAAATAGTGACTTCCCTAGAAACAGCAGCAGCTCACCCTCTGCTTGGCACAGATGTGGGGTTTACACTGGCAAATTTAATTTTCTGATTGAAAAAACAAATTCTATGCAATTTCTGGTTGTAAAAGGAAAGAGATGACAATGGAGAGGGGCAGGGGAGATAAAGCCTTGAGTGAAGGTACATCCTGTTCTTGAATTGTTTTCTTTTCTTTTTGTCTTGAATGTACTGAAATAAAAGATGTCCTTGTATAATCATGCTTTTTTTTTTTTTTTTCCCTCTTTCCTTCCCTGTTTAGAGTCAGGAAAGTTGTGAGGCAGTTTGAGGCCCAGCTGCTGAGGGAAAAACCCAGCAACTTGACAGGCAAGAGGTGCTTTGGCTGTTGGAGCTCTCTGCTCCCTGAGAGTGTCCACACCCCTGGTGTTGCTGTTACCTGTAGCTGAATGGAAAACAGGAGTTAAAAAGCAAAGGTCAATTAAAACAAACAAACAAACAAACAACAAAAAAACAAATGCCTGGTGATGAGGGAGAAAAGAACTCAGAACTGACAGCAGGGTGAGCAGGGATGCTGCTCCATCTTTCCCATAGCTGGTGGTTGGAGCTGCCCAAGGGTGAATCCAGGGTGGTTCCAGCAGATGTATGCACAGGGAATGGGGTGTGGACCATGGTGATGGGCACAGTAGGGTTGTTTTGATTATTCCAGAAGATGTTTCTGAAGAGGATGCACAGGGGATGGGGTGTGATCCAAGGTGATGGGCACAGCAGGGTTGTTCTCATGATTCCAGCAGATGTTTCTGAGGAGGATGGGCAGGGAATGGAGTTTGATCCATCGTGATAGGTACAGCAGGGCTGTTCTCATGATTCCAGCAGATGTTTCTGAGGATGCACAGAGAATGGGGTGTGGACTGTGGTGATGGGCACAGCAGGGCCATTCTGTTGTCCCCAGCAGGGTGTGGAGGGAAGCTCTGCTCCCAGTGACTGTAAAACAGGCAGCAAGGAGAGGATTTAGAGCTTGTTTTTTAGGATGTCGTATGAGATGCTCACAGAGCTCCTTCCTGGCTTTCACATCCTTAAATCCACAGGATGTTCCCCTCTCCCTGGCATAAACTGAGCAGTGAGATGAGGCAAGGCTCCCCCCATGCCATGGGGTTGGAGAGGCAGATCCTCAGCTGAGGCAAGTCAGTAAAACTCCGTGCAGCTCTGCCAGGAGCCAGGCTGGGCTTTCAGAGTCCTGACAGCAGCACTAGAGACATCTGAGAGCGCCTGTGTTGTGCTTAAAGGCCAACATGTTTCTACGAGCTGCAGAATATATTCATCAAAAGGAAGCTGCTTTTTAAAATTTATTTACAGATTAGCAGAAGAAAAGGCTCCATGAATCATTTATCAGACCTGATGTTTTTTTCACTGCTTCTCTGCATTGAATAAAGAGAAATCTTGACAGAGCTAGACATTATTCTGCATCTCCAAAGATCTTGCAGTCATCTGCTCAGAGAGAGGATGTCAAGGAAAAAAAAAAAGATGAGAAACCACCTGGTTTTTATCTCTCCTGTTAGCTTGCTCCACCCACATGGTATTTTATATCTGGGTCTGTATTTTAAGGAGATTTGTTTCATGTCCCTCTTGCCCTCCTCTCTTTTTAAAGTTGTTTTTCTTTTTTTAATATTCAGAGGTTTTGCACTCAGAGCAGGGATGGACCTCAGACGAGGAGGATAAAAGCTGCTGTCATTGAGATGCCTTTTCTAATGTGCTTCTGTCCTGCATTTTCTGCTCCCTGCTAAATCCTTCCAGTCCCACCCTGGAGGGAGCAGGCAGCATTATGCATGTGCTGGGTTTGTGCTCACACACATTTGTGTGCCCAGATGGGTTTACATCTCACACATTCCCTCTCTCCCCAGGTTGTTTTTTTGGTTTTTTTTTTTTTTTCTTTTCCTCTCATCTTTGAAGCCATTGTGGGGCTCTTTTGCTCAGCCAGCCCCAATGCTAATGCAGTTCAAGATCTGGAATAGTTTGCCTTGCAAAAGGCACTTTCCCAGTATTGCTGTCTCCTGATAAACCCCGGGTAATTCTAGTAAGATATCTCTGCAAATTCCACCGGGAGCCAAAGATTAGATCAATTAAAATGGGATACTTTGCTTTATCCCCTCTAACCAGTGTGTTTGAGCCTCCTGCTGCCCTCTGTTTTAGGCTCACGTCTCCCTGCCCTGACAGCCACTTCTCCAGCCCTGGCTCACTCAACAGCAGCCTGGCAGCTTCCTAACTAAAAGGCCTGGAATCTCTCCTCGTGGGCTAAAACCCGTGTTTGTGTTGTTTTTTCCAGGCAGTTCCATTTTCACCTAATGATAAAAAGCTGTTTTCTCCCCGGAGGGTGCATGGGTGAAGGTATTAACAAGGCCTGGACGAACCTGGGGGCATTTCCTGAGCTGAGCCGTGTACATGAAATACAAAAGGGTTGTTCTGTGAGCACAAAACCTTGGGAAGAGAGATGCTGAGCTATAAATTATAGAACAGACACTAAGCCCTCGGTGGTCCTGAGGCAGGAATCTTTTTAACCATTCCACAGCTACAAAAATCTTCCTGCCCTTCTCCAAGTGCCTCACCAGGTAAGTGACACAAAAGTTGGAGGAAGATCCACAGGGAACAGCTTTTTTTTTTGCAGAGATTTGGAGTTCTAGAAGGGATGTGAATCCCTGTGACCTGGCAGGGAGCTGGGAACTGCAGCTGTGGGCACAGGGAAACTGGGATAGGCACAGGAATGTGGACAACTGGTTTGGATGGTTCTTGGTTGATGGCTCTGAATGGTAAAAAAGAAGAGACCTGTGGGTGAGAACTGTTCAGTGGAGGCTGGCTGGGTCCTAAGGAGGTTTCTAAGCTGATTTCTAAGTTTCTGTAAGAGCAAATAAGCAAAGATGAACTGGTTTGGGGTGAAGCTGTCACAACTGGGCTGTGAAAAGCCCTGTATGAGTGATCAAAGCCCCTCCAACACTTTAGTTTCATTTAGCTCTGCAGTTATTACCTGCAGGATGGGTGTTTCCCTCTTCTGCTTCACTTGTTCATCCAGGAAAGGTGATGGAATTTCTTGCAGGGGGAAAGCAGCAGTGGCCATCAGGAGGAGAGTGAGGCACCACTCCAGGGCAAGGGAAACAGCCCCAGTGTGGGCAGAACCGGGCAGAGAAAACTGCAAACTGCCCCCAGAAATGGTAAAAAGTAAGTCTGGGCTCACATGTGACACCTGCAAGTCCGCTGAGGATCCAAGAGTGAGGGAACATCACCTTTGCCTGGAGTGAGGGGCTGAGCCCAAACACCTGCAGAACAGAGCATAAAGCACCCACAGTTCCAGAAAGCCCATTAGTGTCTGATGGCCACTAACTGATTGAAAAGACAGGGCTGATCTCCCCTGGGCACAAAGTGGCTCTCATGAATTCAGTATAAATAGGCTCCCCTGGAACACGACACCACACTGGGAAAATCAGGACAATGGGCAGGTTTATGCATCCTTCAGGGCAGGTTTTTTTCCCCTCCAAGGGGGGAATCTGCTTCGTTCCAGGTGACTGATGAGTCTGGTTGGTGGCAGGGCTGCAGCATTTCATCCCAGGGATGATTCCAGCTGGGGGGTGAGGATGTGCAGCTGCCCTGGCTGGGGGGGGACGTGTGGCACTGCATCACCAGCACAAAGGTTCACACAGCAGCAGCTCCCCGAGAGCCCTGGCGGGGCCAGAGCAGCATGAAAATGAAGGCAGCTTAATTAACAAAGGCTTTCTCCTCTGCTGTGTTGAGGTCTGCAGTTATCAGCATAGCTGGCAGTTCTCAAAGACTGAAATGACAGTAGTTGGCTGTAAAAGAGATAACTGTCAGATTAGCTGGGACATATCTCCGCCGAGGTTTTCTATATCATACCTATCTTGAAGCATCTCCATGTATCAAAGGGACTAGTTG